CACCCAATCATAAAATACATGACTGTTTATACAAGCATCCTGAAGAGGAAAAAATGCAAAGGCATTGAAGGTAAATGGAATAGAAAGTGAAAGCAGCGCATTATGTAGGAATGAGATGGAGGTTTATAACAGTTGATCCTGGCCCATGAGGCAGAGTAGAATATCATCCTCATGTCACCAGGGCCACACTCCTACTGAATACCAAGTCTGCCTGTGTCTCACACACACACTTACAGTGTGGGAAAAAAGTATTTGATCCCCTGCTGATTTTGTACTTTTGCCCACTGACAAAGACATGATCAGTCTATAATTTTAATGGTAGGTTTATTTGAACAGTGAGAGACAGAATAACAACAAAAAAATCCAGAAAAACACATGTCAAAAATGTTATAAATTTATTTGCATTTTAATTAGGGAAATAAGTATTTGACCCCTCTGCAAAACATGACTTAGTACTTGGTGGCAAAACCCTTGTTGGCAATCACAGAGGTCAGACGTTTCTTGTAGTTGGCCACCAGGTTTGCACACATCTCATTAGGGATTTTGTCCCACTCCTCTTTGCAGATCTTCTCCAAGTCATTAAGGTTTCGAGCCTGACTTTTGGCAACTCGAACCTTCAGCTCCCTCCACAGATCTTCTATGGGATTAAGGTCTGGAGACTGGCTAGGTACATGGCCCCGTCCACCGTCCCTTTGATGCGGTGAAGTTGTCCTGTCCCCTTAGCAGAAAAACACCCCCAAAGCATAATCTTTCCACCTCCATGTTTGACGGTGGGGATGGTGTTCTTGGGGTCATAGGCAGCATTCCTACTCCTCCAAACACGGCGAGTTGAGTTGATGCCAAAGAGCTCCATTTTGGTCTCATCTGACCACAACACTTTCACCCAGTTCTCCTCTGAATCATTCAGATGTTCATTGGCAAACTTCAGATGGGCCTGTATATGTGCTTTCTTGTGCAGGGGGACCTTGCGGGCGCTGCAGGATTTCAGTTCTTCACGGCGTAGTGTGTTACCAATTGTTTTCTTGGTGACTATGGTCCCAGCTGCCTTGAGATCATTGACAAGATCCTCCCGTGTAGTTCTGGGCTAATTCCTCACCGTTCTCATGATCATTGCAACTCCACGAGGTGAGATCTTGAATGGAGCCCCAGGCCGAGGGAGATTGACAGTTCTTTTGTGTTTCTTCCATTTACGAATAATCGCACCAACTGTTGTCACCTTCTCACCAAGCTGCTTGGTGATGGTCTTGTAGCCCATTCCAGCCTTGTGTAGGTCTACAATCTTGTCCCTGACATCCTTGGAGAGCTCTTTGGTCTTGGCCATGGTGGAGAGTTTGGAATCTGATTGATTGATTGCTTCTGTGGATAGGTGTCTTTTATACAGGTAACAAACTGAGATTAGGAGCACTCCCTTTAAGAGTGTGCTCCTAATCTCAGCTCATTACCTGTATAAAAGACACCTGGGAGCCAGAAACCTTTCTGATTGAGAGGGGGTCAAATACTTATTTCCCTCATTAAAATGCAAATCAATTTATAACATTTTTTACATGCGTTTTTCTGGATTTTTTTGTTGTTATTCTGTCTCTCACTGTTCAAATAAACCTAGCATTAAAATTATAGACTGATCATTTCTTTGTCAGTGGGCAAACGTACAAAATCAGCAGGGGACCAAATACTTTTTTCCTTCACTGTATCTACCTCCGAGGGCTGCTTGCCCCCTACCTCGCTCTTAATGCTTTTTGAAAGGAACACCCCCTCCCCCACTCATCAGCACAGCACATTATTAAAAAAGAGACACGGCAGGAGTGCTCTTAGGTCTCTTCCCACTTTTTCATTACCAGTGGCTCCTTGACATTTATTGACAGCTCATGGCTGAGGGCTGGCGCCGACAAGAGTGAGACGAGCCCTTGGATTCCATCAGCGCTCACACACTGAACCGACTTAAATTACCATATTGCACAGTACATTAATCACCAAAAACACCATTTGTAATTAAATTGGTTGTTAAAACGTGTCAATTGATTAGTCCATTTTATGGGCAAACGTTTCATCATTCAGGTTGTTTTATTGTATTATTTTTTAAAGGGGCTTAGGTTTGTGGGTTTGGCAGGGGGCCTGGTCGTGGCTGAATTTTAGAGGCTCCCATCTTGGCCGTACATTTCACTGCACCTATCCAGTGTATGTGACAATACATTTAATTTGACCTTTTTGCAGCTGAGAGAATTTAGCAGTTTTAAAGCTAATTTCCTGCAATTCTATGCATTTTGCCATGGCTAATGCTGTGTTATTTTGCTCAAAAATAATAAATATATACTGCTAAATACATTGTTTTTTGAATATTCAATTCTCCCTGACTGTCTAGCTTTTATTTAGGTGATTGTAGTTCTCAAAGACTATATTTAAAAAAATATATAAAAAATTTTTATCCTTTCTACATACTTTATGTCTAGTCGTTTAAGTTTACACTGAATGCGTTTTTCCATCCGGGAAGATTAATAAAAATCTTAGGAGACCCACCCGAGGACTTCAATGGCAGAAAAACTCCCGTCATTACTACGACACTGAAAGGAGTGCGACACTGAAAAGGAGGCAGTAAACTTGGTGATTTAATAGCACGCAGCCACGGCTGCATGTTTGCACACCACGCGTGAGCATGTCTGAGGCATTTACCAGATAATGAGGACCAATTACAATACTCATCTCTTTATCTGTTGTTATTTAATTATCAGACGAGGGCCGCTTTAATGCACAACAGCACACACACACACAAGCATACACACGCTCCTGTGAACAGCCACACACAAACGGCGTCGGACAAAGAGGCAGTTGCGGCTATATAGACAGAGCTATTAGCTGCCACCACATGATATGCAACACATTAAGCAAGTCCTTGTGAATGGAGGCTATGTTGATATAGGCCTACCTGCCCATTTTAGCTTAGAACAAACAGATCGAGAAGCATAAGATAATTTGGGGGTGAGTCTACGCACCTTGTTGAAATCATGCCAAACATGCCAATAATCTGTCCATAGAACCCTAATGTATCCTTCGATGGGTTCGTTAGAAGCAGAGTATGAAAAGGTTTGTTCAAGGTTATTTTATTTCCTTGGCAGTGTGCCAACTTGCCATTTTATTCCTGGCAATAGCTGAAGGTCCGTGAGCAACTTTGTTCTGTTTTCTGTTCATATTCATTAATAACTGGACAAAAACAAGCGTACCATGAAAATGCCCACAACATGCGGATAGATACCCAAGGATTCCACTATCACCACAGATTCCACTATCCCCACAGAAAAGAGGATGGATTCTACTACATCCACAGATTCCACTATCACCAAAGAGAGAAAATATATTCTACTATCCCACAGATATTGGAAAGATTGTAAATGTGTGGGGGTTGGTTGGGTGGACTGTGAACACTCCCAATTAAGAGGGGTTTGGGATGATTCCTCACTGAGGTTATCAGCCAACTGAAAGAACACAGGCCTGCATGCCCCTCTGGAAACCCCAGGGTGAGAGCAGACAGCAAACCTAGTCAGAGCCTTGGACTGATCCAACATCTAGCTCAGGTGTTCAGTTAACTCTGGGTCAGCCCTCGCCCCCAGGGACTAGGGATTACCTTTGCGGATTACCACCGTATCCTGCCTTCACAAAAAGCCTATCACACCCTGATTACATCACAGAGTACTGACTCCCCACAGACAGTACTGTAGAATTATGATTGTACATGCTCAGAATAAGAATGACCTTCACTAAACTTCTCTATAAACTATACTCAAGAGAGAAAGGGTTCTAAGAGTTTCTCGGTGCACAGAACAAATTCTCAAACAAAGACGTCTGTTGCATATTCAAAAATCTAAAATAAACTGTTCAATTCAGCATAGAGAATGAGTTCTTATCGTGCAATGGACGCTTCCTATCTTCAGAAGAAATAATCCAATTTGCCACACAATAATTACCCCCTAACTAAGCCACAAGTAACCTAATCAAATTAGACAGTATTTGTTCTGTCGCATGAAAATACATAATTATAAGTGGATGGGTATCTTGAAAGCATGGATTCATATAATTGAAATTGCTTGGAGTTTATTGAAGTTAATTGGAGAGTGTCGACCCCCACATAAGCAATAGCTATTGATAGATTGTAAATTACTTTATATTACTGTTTTATATCTTTACTGTTTTATATCATTATAGCCTCTTAGTAGTAGATTGTTTTTATATACCCTTTGATATAGAAAGTAGTGTTAGGTTTAAGCTCTGTGTACGAGCAGTGCCATTATTTAGTGGACTGCAGTGGACAATAGGAATGTGTACTCCCATTAACTCAAGGCCTCTCCTGACTGATATGAAGTTCTGTGATACGCACAGAGGAGTACAGAGAAATCATTGGTAATGAGTACATCTTTGTGGAAGGGAGGGGGTGAGAGCTAAGGGTGTAAGTGGACACTGCACTGTATTGAATGAATGTATTAGGCTGGTAAATCTTCGCTGAGTAAACATTTGAAACATTTTGGTGCTCTTTTGAATGACAAATATATTTACTGTAAATTGAGATATTGGTCTTCTTATCACCATGTTAGAGGAAGATACTGCAGCTCCATCTGCTGTCTCATCAAGCAATGATCAACTCACACACACCTCGCTCTCACTGCAATTTACCAGGTAGCCTAGAAGCAGAAAGGACATGTAATGCGCATAACAAGATTACCTCCTCATTCTACTACTCTGACCGTAACGCTGTCTTTTATTTCTACTCTATAACAAAAGCTGGCCGATCCTTATTTTCCAATAAAGGTTCATTACATTGTCTGAGACCAGGAGAAGCCATTGAGAAATGCAGTACTGAAATAGAACGAAAAGGCAGCATCTTTCTTCATAAGCAGTGCTGATACATTCAACCAATCAAATATATTGTTGTGGGATTTGCCATCGAGTTTCCCGTTCCGTTAAAGGCACAGCCATCCTTAAAGGAGTTATCAAAACCTACATGGAAACTTTCAAGACTCACCGGAGTCGTTGCGTAGGTAAGAGGACATGGCTGGAATGAGGCAGGACTGGCTGAGCAGTTCCTGCAGCACCGTGGGAAGGGCATTGCTGTTGTGGCCCCTGCTCTCCCCTGTAGGGGCCTCTCCGTGACTCACACAGCCTGCTGGGTTGATGTAGCTGGCCAGCACCTGGGAGACAGGGGACGGGGGAGAATACACACATGCATGTTTAGCAACACATATAGGCCTTTCTCTGGGGTAACTACACAGGAATTGTTAGCAACGTAACACTTTGTGCCACTGGGGAAAACCATCAGGATATACTACACCTAGCTAGGCCTAGAGGACTCTTACCTGCAGCAGACAAGTGACATGCTCCTCCTCCAGCCTCTGCTTGGTGAGGGCCTGCTCCACGTCCCAGCCTGAGGCAGTGGAGCCTGTACCGAACCCAGTGCCCTTCGCCCAGTACAGCTGCTGCTCCTCACTGGTGCCCCCTCCATGACCACTGGACACTGTGGGCTGGGGACAGACAGAAAGAGTGGAGGTGATGAGCACAACACAGGAAATCAGCAGGGGGTAAAGTGTAGTCTACTGGTCCATTGTGATGACAACATAGGCCAGGCCTACTGATAATAGCCTTCCATAAACTCATGAAATCAGCAAAAGACTAAAATGTTATTCTCAATGCAGCATAGGCTACACATTTGGACTGAATAAGATTACTTTTCCCCCTTTTCAAAATGTCAGTTGTCACATTTATTTATTTGTATTTAACCTTTATTTAACTAGGCAAGTCAGTTAAGAACAAATTCTTATATACAATGACGGCCTACCTACCAAAAGGCACAAGGCCTCCTGCGGGGACGGGGGATTAAAAATAAAAATATAGGACAACACACACATCACGACAAGGGAGACACCACAACACTTCATCAAAAGTTGAGTGAGAGCGCAATGCTGGTTTTCCAGGTAGAAAATCACCAACAAACATAACAGCCTGCCTACCCACAGTCCCAACTCCTATGCAGCCCTGCTTGTCACAGCCGTTATACACTTGAGGCACTGATAGTTCTGCTCCGAGCACATGCCCAGCAGTTTGAATAGGAGACCTTGTCAAATGAAAGGCAGAGGAGTCTCGGAGGGAAAGAGCATATGCTCGGACTAAACAAAGGTTGACCTGGTGCTGTGCGTATGATATTTGAGCAACGAGAGTTCCCTGTGGTACAGGGAGGGAGCAGGGGGCATGTTTGAATAAAGAGAACAGAGAGATGGATATGAAAGGATGTCTGAGTTAGACGAGAGGAGAACATTTCTTGAGACGGCACCTTTTTTGCTTTGACGATCATCAGGCTTGACGTGGGAGTGCTATAAAGATCTACGGGAGCGCTCTCCCAGCGCATCTTTAACATTGCAGGAACGCTCCCGACGTGCAGACAAGCGTTATGGGAATGTTACCGGCTAATGGAGGTGGCGTATATGTACATGCACCTCTGCCATCAGAGATCACTGTCAATTTTATCAGTCAACTGTGGCGCAATGGAGATGACTCAGCATTTGCATTGACTTTACAGTAGGTGGGATGAGACTGCTGGGATTTTGACCTGTTTTTCTTTTATTCCTTTGGTGAGTTTCTTCATTGTTAACCGGCTTTTAATAGATGGCCATAGTGTGTGTGTTTTGTATAGTACTGAGTCCAGTTTGGGCCGGAGCAGGGCCCAGTCCTGACACTCTCCCAGTGGTAAAGGGGGGAGGAGTTATGCTCTCGTTATAAGAGGTTGGAGACTAATCACTGAGCCCTGGAACATCAATCAGGGAGGGGAGGGAGGAGGCTCACTTTCCCAGACAAAGAGGGATGTGTGTGTGTGTGTGTGTGTGTGTGTGAGGGGACTGACCGTCCGCCCGCACTCAAGCCATCGGCTCCGAGATCTGTCCTCAACTCTGACAACTCCTTAAATCCACACAGGTCTGTGGACAAGAGCACGTGTTGAGCCAATCCACAGTAACACTGGGCTGTAGTACTGTAATAGCCTCGCCTGCTATATAAAGTGTCATCTTCAGCAGTTTAGCTGAATTTAGGCTTTTGATCTATAGCGCTTCGACCCTTGTGGTGGCGTTGAGCTTCTAGTGATCAAAATCAATATTGTGACTGTATCCACCAAATTGTATCAATCTGTTATTTGTTCCGAGTTGTTAGTCATCTCCTTTGCGTCTCAGTGGTCCTAGAAGAGTACAGAGTACTTTGAAAGGCTTTGAGCAGGAGGTGAGTGTTGAAGCCCAGCAGAAAGCTCAATAGAAGTATAATCACTCCATTTAATGGGCATGGCAGTCAGACAGCGCATGATTCAATTCCTATTAATGTTCCCTTCTGCCTGGAGTTGGCAATAATACAAAGGACACGTCTCTCTTCAAAGCCAGACCTGCCTCTTATCATTCCCACTAACCAATTACCCAATTTGTCAAGGGCTCAGTGGAGATATGCATAAGAGCCCTGAGTAAAGCCCTGCCAGGTAGAGTAATTAATAACATGACTGATCCTCACCGCCCGTCTCTCATTGAGGGAAAGACAAAAGGAGAGTGAGAACCTCCTATCATGTCAAGCCAAAAGCATTAGACAAGGCTGACACCATTTGTCACGCAATACTTTGTCAACCCATCCCAAAAAGAGGTTTATCCTGGTCTTGGTCCATCATGAACACACAAGAGAACTCAATGGACAGAACAAACTTCCACCGGCATCTGTCCACATTTGGTGACGTACAAGAATGTGTGTGTTTGAACTGTGTTTACATTCTTATTATTTTAACACTAGAATGGCCGGGCCTCGAGGCATCCGAGTTCGAGCCAATGCCGCGCCTTTGGGGCATCAACATTCTAACAGCCTAATAAACGCATTTCATACATGCCATCGCAAAAAGAATACCACAATTCAAGTGTTATACACCATCAAAGAAATGCATTATTATTTCGTTAAGGCAGGTCTTAAGAAACATTATGAAACTAATAAAATGTATTTCAAAAGAACAGAATAGCATATTTTACATTTTATTGTTACTAGTCTGTGTTTAGTGGCCTAGACTATATGCTGCCGCAAGTGCTCACATGTGGAACACATGGAGCTGCGGTTATTCTACAAAAAAATAATATTTAGAGAGTTGTTTGGCAAATGTAGGTGTTTAGAAACCTTAGAATCTCTGCACTTTCCGATAGGTTATATAAATCAAAACATCTGACATGCATGAACCTCTGTAGGAAGATTTTCAACAGTCACTTTTTCGTAAGCTCTGTTCCCTTCTTTGTCAATTACACATGCTGGCCTCTCTATTCACAAGACAATTGATAATATAGTCACGCATTTAGACTGTCAATTTAATCTGGTCTTTAGGCTACATCTATTATTATAGGCCTATGTGTGGAATTAGTTTAGTCGAAGATTTGACTTAGAAAATTGCAGAGATAACACAATTTTAAATTCACATGACGTTCAAAAGACGTTGTCTGCACTTCTAGTGTTAAGCCCACATGCACGTCACCAGAAGTGTGTATGTGCATGTGAGCGCCTTTTGGACACAGTCAGTGACTGGGCTTCACCTCTGAAGAGTTCCCGCTGGTTTTGGAGACACGGGGCGCGTGGTGGCTGAGGGCTGACAGGCAGGCCAGGATGAGGTGGATGGCTCCTATTTCCAGGGCCATACGGCGCAGCAGCACGCCGTCATCCGTGGTGAGGGGTGTGGTGCTGAACAGGGTCCGCAGCACGTGGAAGGGCAGCGTGGGAAGCACATTGGCTGACGGAGACTGCAGGATGTGACCTAGAAGGAAGGAAAGAAGGAAGGCGAGAGATACAGCCAATCAGAGAAGATGATTGATAATATCATTGAATAGAATTGGATAAATTACTCAAAAATGAATGAAGCACTTTATGAGTGTGAGGGATGGTGAGAGGGATGACCATAGAGGTGGAGGAATACTGTCCGGAAAGGATGGATACATCGATTTAGCACTTATGAGAATGAGGCCAGAGAAGACAACAGCCGACTAAATGGCAGGCTGACTGTGTGCTATGTGACCAGTGTCACTAAACAAGCTGGCAGCCTGCTCTCCATCAATCATTAAGGGACGTTATTTCAAGGACTAAAGAAAAAAGTGTTGCAGGACAACATAGTTTATTTCAGGTCCTAGAGAGGGGAGCTAAATAGCCATCAATAATGAAGGCAAATGAGAGCAGAGGTTGGCTGGTGAGGAGTTGTAATGTATGAGAGGGTAGGACTTGTCAATATTAAAAACAAGCCAGTGTGAGTATTTTGGCTAAATGATCCACAGGGCCCGCAGACAGATACGGTCTCAAGGTCTGCAGGGGAAGAGCTGCACCAGGGAGAACAAACGTGCCTCAATTGTAAATGGAGGGATAAAAATCTCTCTCCCGCTCTTTCTCTACCCGCTCGTGGCCAGGTGCTTTTAGAAGAGTCGATTTACATGCATTGCCCATATTATGACACTGACAGCTATGTATTTAGGGTCTCTGATAATGGGCATTATCGATCTGCTTGGTCCACAACTTGGCAAGATCAACTGCCTGACAAAGTCAATCTGAGCATTGGGGGAAAAGTGAACTGCTATTAGTAGGGCTGAGAATGTTTGTCCCTGCAGCAACCTTCTATATTAAACACCATAGGGACCCGGTTATCCTCAATGGTGTTTCCAAATATGAACATGCTTATAAATCCTTCATAAATAGGGGTCAGGTGTTTTTCCTGACCATGCCTGAAGCTGCGTGAGAGGTGTTGTCACTTACTGCCCTCTCCGTCGTCTGTGACCCCCAGCACCAGGCGGAGCAGACACTGGGCATGCTTCCTCTCCTTCAGCAGCACCTCAGCGTAGCCCGGCAGGCGCAGGAACAGACCGAAGGCCGCCAGCGAGTGGGCGGGGATGGGCGACATGGTCTGCACTGACGACTTGTTGATGGGTGGCGGCTCGGCGGCCATTGTCTCTGGCGCCTCGTACACGAGCTCGCCAGACTGCTCGATGGTGACCCACTCAAACTGGTCGCTGTCCTTGGGCTTCTCCTGCGTGGTGGAGGGCACCACTGGAGCACTCACCTGCACAGGACAAGCCAGGGATAGAATGGGGTTAGAGGACAACACATGGAAAACGCTGACAGATGTGCTGACTCGGATGGGATCTCAATGTCATATGTTGTGTTTGGGCACTGAGGGTAGTAGGGAGCATATGGAACTAGAGAGCTGTTATTCAGATCAATAGAGACTGGATATAGTGCCCTGGGCACAAAGCTCCTAACTCAACACTAAAGTGGAGGGTCAACTGATTTACAAGTTTAACATAAATTAAACCAACCAGTGCCTTCAGAAAGTACTCATAGCCCTTGACTTATTCCACATGTTGTGTTACAGCCTGAATTCAAAATGGATTACATTTTTTTTCCCTCACCCATCTACACACAATACCCCATAATGACAAAGCAAAAACTTGTTTTAAGAAAAGTTAGCAAATGTATTGAAAATTAAATACAGGAATCTCATTTAAATAAGTATTCACATGCGAGTCAATACTTTGTAGAAGCACCTTTGGCAGCGATTACAGCTGTGAATCTTTCTGGGTAAGTCTCTAAGAGCTTTCCACACCGGGATTGTGTAACATTTGCCCATTATTCTTTTCAAAATTCTTCAAGCTCTGTCAAACTAGTTGTTGATCATTGCTAGACAACCATTTTCAGGTGTTGCTATAGATTTAAGTCAAAACTAACTCTGCTACTCGGGAACATTCACGGTCTTCTTGATAAGCAACTCCAGCGTAGATCTGGCCTTGTGTTTTAGGTTATTGTCCTGCTGAAAGGTGAATTCATCTCCCAGTGTCTGGTGGAAAGCAGACTAAACTAGGTTTTCCTCTAGGATTTGCCTGTGTTTGGCTCCATTCCGTTTATTTTTATTTAGAAAAACTGCCCAGTCCTTAACGATCACAAGCATACCCATAGCATGATGCAGCCATCACTATGCTTGAAAATATGGAGAGTGGTAATCAGTAATGTCTTGTATTGGATTTGCCCCTAACATAACACTTTGTAGTGTTAAGAGATAGATGGTTGGTGTTGAATGAAGTTGAAGGATGGGACTAATAACAACAAGATATATATATATTTTTAAATATTTTTTTAGTCATTTAGCAGACGCTCTTATCCAGAGCGACTTACAGGTAGTGAGTGCATACATTTTCATACTGATAACTAATGTAAAGCATACTGTGTCCATAATAAGTATATAAGTTATAGGTTGAGAGCTTTTGTGAAAGAGCACAGTTAGAAAGATATGGCATATAGAAGCAAACCGGATGGACATCATGAAAATGATCGGAGGTTGAGGGTAAAGGAAGTTCAGGAGTAAAAACAAACAAAATATAATTATTGTCAAATTGACTGTGTCCATAAAATTTATATAGTATGTATAAGCTGGAAGTAGAGGCCTAAGCGCTGTTGTTCACTAGTTTAGTCCAATTAGGGAAGGGGTGGTGGGGTTGGAAAGTAATAAAGGGAAATATATTTTTTTAAAGGATATATATATATATATATACATACACACTGCTCATAAAAATAAAGGGAACACTTAAACAACACAATGTAACTCCAAGTCAATCACACTTCTGTGAAATCAAACTGTCCACTTAGGAAGCAACACTGATTGACAATAAATGTCACATGCTGTTGTGCAAATGGAATAGACAACAGGTGGAAATTATAGGCAATTAGCAAGACACCCCCAATAAAGTAGTGGTTCTGCAGGTGGTGACCACAGACCACTTCTCAGTTCCTATGCTTCCTGGCTGATTTTTTGGTCACTTTTGAATGCTGGCGGTGCTTTCACTCTAGTGGTAGCATGAGACGGAGTCTACAACACACATAAGTAGCTCAGGTAGTGCAGCTCATCCAGGATGGCACATCAATTCGAGCTGTGGCAAGAAGGTTTGCTGTGTCTGTCAGCATAATGTCCAGAGCATGGAGGCTCTACCAGGAGACAGGCCAGTACATCAGGAGACGTGGAGGAGGCCGTAGGAGGGCAACAACCCAGCAGCAGGACTGCTACCTCCAGAGGAGGAGCAGGAGGAGCACTGCAAGAGCCCTGCAAAATGACCTCCAGCAGGCCACAAATGTGCATGTGTCTGCTCAAACGGTCAGAAACAGACTCCATGAGGGTGGTATGAGGGCCCGACGTCCACAGGTGGGGGTTGTGCTTACAGCCCAACACCGTGCAGGACATTTGGCATTTGCCAGAGAACACCAAGATTGGCAAATTAACCACTGGCGCCCTGTGCTCTTCACAGATGAAAGCAGGTTCACACTGAGCACGTGACAGACGTGACAGAGTCTGGAGACGCCGTGGAGAACGTTCTGCTGCCTGCAACATCCTCCAGCATGACCGGTTTGGCGGTGGGTCAGTCATGGTGTGGGGTGGCATTTCTTTGGGGGGCCGCACAGCCCTCCATGTGCTCGCTAGAGGTAGCCTGACTGCCATTAGGTACCGAGATGAGATCCTCAGACCCCTTCTGAGACCATATGCTGGTGCGGTTGGCCCTGGGTTCCTCCTAATGCAAGACAATGCTAGACCTCATGTGGCTGGAGTGTCAGCAGTTCCTGCAAGAGGAAGGCATTGATGCTATGGACTGGCCCGCCCATTCCCCAGACCTGAATCCAATTGAGCACATCTGGGACATCATGTCTCGCTCCATCCACCAACGCCACATTGCACCACAGACTGTCCAGGAGTTGGCGGATGCTTTAGTCCAGGTCTGGGAGGAGATCCCTCAGGAGACCATCCGCCACCTCATCAGGAGCATGCCCAGGCGTTGTAGGGAGGTCATACATGCACATGGAGGCCACACACACTACTGAGCCTCATTTTACTTGTTTTAAGGACATTACATCAAAGTTGGATCAGCCTGTAGTGTGGTTTTCCACTTTAATTTTGAGGGTGACTCCAAATCCAGACCTCCATGGGTTGATACATTTGATTTCCATTGATAATTTTTGTGTGATTGTGTTGTCAGCACATTCAATTATGTAAAGAAAAAAGTATTTAATAAGATTATTTCATTCATTCAGATCTAGGATGTGTTGTTTAAGTGTTCCCTTTATTTTCTTGAGCAGTGTATATATATTTGCGAGAAGAAAAAAAACATGGGGGATTGGAAGTGATGCAGACAATTATTGATGGAAGTTACAATCTATCTGCAATATTAAAGCTGATCTACCCCCTAAAAAATAAGAAAAAGAAAAAACAACACTTTGTATTCAGGACAAAAAGTGAATTGTTTTGCCACAATTTTTGGAGTATTACTTTAGTGCCTTGTTGCAAACAGGATGCATTTTTGATTTAAAAAATTTGTACAGGCTTCCTTTTCACTCCGTCAATTAGGTTAGTATTGTGGAGTAGCTATAATGTTGATGATCCATCCTCAGTTTTCTCCTATCACAGACATTTAAAACTCTGTAGCCGTTTTAAAGTCACCATTGGCCTCATGGTGAAATCCCTGAGCAGTTTCCTTCCTCTCCTGTAACTGAGTTAGGAAGGACGTTTGTTTCTCTGTAGTGACTGGGTGTATTGATACACCATCCAAAAGTGTAATTAATCACTTCACCATAGTCAAAGGGACATTCAATGTCTGTTTTTGTTTTGTTTTTTTACCCATCTACCAATACATTGGAAAACCTCCCCTGGTCTTTGTGGTTTAATCTGTTTTTGAATTCACTGCTCGACTGAGGGACCTTACAGATAATTGTATGTGTGGGTTACAGAGATGAGGTAGTCATTCAAAAATCATGGTAAACACTATTATTGCACACAGAGTCCATGCAATATATGTGACTTGTTAAGCACATTTTTACTCCCGAACGTATTTAGGCTTGCCATAACAAAGGGGTTGAATACTTACTGACTTAAGACATTTCAGCTTTTCCTTTTTATTAATTTGTACAAATATCTAAAAATAATTCCACTTTGACATTATGGGGTAATGTGTAGGCCAGTGAAAAACAAATCTAAATTTTATCAATGTTAAATTCAGGCTGTAACACAACAAAATGTGGAAAAAGTCAAGGGGTGTGAAAACATTTTGAAGGCACTGTACCAGCCCTCACAACGTTTGGGCCCCTGTTACAGTGAGTGTTTTTTTTTTGTTGTGTCCAGTGTTCTTAAGATGAAGGCAAGTATCAGAGCTGCAGCACTGCAGAGAAACAAAGTTATTTTGTGCTTAGTTGTGATCAATGTAATCAATTCAAGCTTAGCTGCACTAAAAGCCAGAATGGATCTCCAGGAACAAGATGTGCTGTAAGTAAACAGCTAAACATGAGTGGGACAAAAGATACAGACCTGGGCTGTTTGGCTAACCCATCAGAAAACCCTACACAGGGTCAGTATTGGGTAAACAGAAAAGCCTCACCTGCATCGATGCCTTAAGTTTACTTTGCTAACAGTCACACTCAGGATGAGAGCATAACACTTCAATTATTCAAAACCTTAAGAGCGTGCTCTAAAAACACTATCCAGAGGCATACAAAGGGTTAAACTAATGCAGAATCATGTAATATATTGTTGAGAGGGGGATATGGTCAACCAATCAATGACCAATCATGTATATGCTTCATATTCATCACAATGCTAAGTACAAAACAAATCATCTCACTTGGTAGCCCTCATGGGGCGTCTGCTTCAAACCACCAGTAGCTCTGGGAGACTGCCTGAATAATTCAATTCGCTGCAACAATTTGGAAGGGGGGAGAAAATAACAAAACAAAACAGATTTAGTATCTGGCAGCTCTCAGAAGCCATTCCAGCTAGTCACCTTGTCGCTACGTGCTCTCAATTACCGTTTAAAGTATCAATTTACTTTCATTTAGGAGGAATAATGTAGCACCGGGGGAGCCCAGAAGAGACAAATACGGATTTAAACTGAATGGCAAACAGTGACTTGCCATGCCTCTCAACAGGCTGAACCCAGAGAAGAGACACGACACTACCTTGGCAACTTCAGATCTGCATTGGACTTTCTATGTAGCAAAGGTAGCTTGAATTTCTTAAGTATTGGGCTCTAAATTATATGCTATATCTAAACATAATATCTAGAAAATTGGCTTAACATTGTAGGACTACAATTAAATAACTCCCCAATTAAGCAAGTTGTGAAAGTGGTATTTTACTGGTGCTGGTATTAGTTAGTTATGAAGCAGCCAAACCTGTTGGATGATGTCTGGGTAGAGCATTGGCAGCCTCTCAGCGATCAGGGCCAGACCACCCATGCCTGCAAACACCTGCAGGGGCGACTGGATGGGGTTGGTCTCGAGCAGGGACTCATCGATGGCTGCGTCCAAACACTCGTCTCCCGGGGTCATGGGCTCGTCCTCTGGACAGCTACTCAGCATGTCACAGTGTTCCACTGGAGGAGGGAAAAGCAGAAGAGGGTTCTCACTGACACTATGTATTTTCTATGTGGCTTGTGTTCTTCTGTGTGCCGCACTCAACCAATCATGACAAGTAAATAATGGGATGCCCTGCAAAGAGGAACATCGTTTACATCTCAGACACCTAATGAGATAAATAATTTCTCATAACTCATCCCTCATTAGAAGATTGAGAGAGGGGGAAAAAAAACAGAACTATCACTATTCATTTATCAAGTTCAAGCAACCAAGAAGAGAGAGAGAAGAAACTGGCACCAGTTTTCCAGACATACAGTTGAAGTCGGAAGTTTACATACACTTAGGTTGGAGTCATTAAAACTCGTTTTTCAACCACTCCACACATTTCTTGTTAACAAACTATAGTTTTGGCAAGTCGGTTAGGACATCTACTTTGTGCATGACAAGTAATTTTTCCAACAATTGTTTACAGACAGATTATTTCACTTATAATTCACTGTATCACAATTCCAGTGGGTCAGAAGTTTACATACACTAAGTTGACTGTGCCTTTAAACAGGTTGGAAAATTCTAGAAAATTATGTCATGGCTTTAGAAGCTTCTGAGAGGCAATTTACATAATTTGAGTCAATTGGAGGTGTACCTGTGGATGTATTTCAAGGCCTACCTTCAAACTCAGTGCCTCTTTGCATGACATCATGGGAAAATCAAAATAAATCAGCCAAGACCTCAGAAAAAAAAATGGTAGACCTCCACAAGTCTGGTTCATCCTTGGGAGCAATTTCCAAACGCCTGAAGGTACCACGTACATCTGTACAAACAATAGTACGCAAGTATAAACACCATGGGACCACGCAGCCGTCATACCGCTCAGGAAGGAGACGCGTTCTGTCTCCTAGAGATGAACGTACTTTGGTGCGAAAAGTGCAAATAATTCCCAGAATAGCAGCAAAGGACCATGTGAAGATGCTGGAGGAAACAGGTACAAAAGTATCTATATCTACAGTAAAACTAGTCCTATATCGACATAACCTGAAAGGCTACTCAGCAAGGAAGAAGCCACTGCTCCAAAACCGCCATAAAAAAGCCAGACTACGGTTTGCAACTGCACATGGGGACAAAGATCTTACTTTTTGGAGAAATGTCCTCTGGTCTGATGAAACAAAAATAGAACTGTTTGGCCATAATGACCATCGTTATGTTTGGAGGAAAAAGGGGAACGCTTGCAAGCCGAAGAACACCATCCCAACCGTGAAGCACGGGGGTGGCAGCATCATGCTGTGGGGGTGCTTTGCTGCAGGAGGGACTGGTGCACTTCACAAAATAGATGGCATCACGAGTAAGGAAAATTATGTGGATATATTGAAGCAACATCTCAAGACATCAGTCAGGAAGTTAAAGCTTGGTTGCAAATGGGTCTTCCAAATGGACAATGACCCCAAGCATACTTCCAAAGTTGTGGCAAAATGGCTTAAGGACAACAAAGTCAAGGTATTGGAGTGGCCATCACAAAGCCCTGACCTCAATCCTATAGAACATTTGTGGGCAGAACTGAAAAGGCGTGTGCAAGCAAGGAGGCCTACAAACCTGACTCAGTTACTCCAGCTCTGTCAGGAGGAATGGGCCAAAATTCACCCAACTTATTGTGGGAAGCTTGTGGAAGGCTACCCGAAACGTTTGACCCAAGTTAAACAATTTAAAGGCAATGCTACCAAATACTAATTGAGTGTATGTAAACTTCTGACCCACTGGGAATGTGATGAAAGAAATGAAAGCTGAAATAAATAATTCTCTCTACTATTATTCTGACATTTCACATTCTTAAAATAAAGTGGTGATCCTAACTGACCTAAGACAGGGAATTTTTACTAGGATTAAATGTCAGGAATTGTGAAAAACTGAGTTTAAATGTTTTTGGCTAAGGTGTATGTAAACTTCCGACTTCAACTGTAAGGGGATGAGTCCCATTTCAATTTTTATATGTGAATGTGTAAATATGGGCTAATGGTTGCACTTGGAAAAAGGGATGTGCCACTACCAGATGAAGTGCACACTGATTAAAACAGAATCAAGGGCACAGACTACTTGTCCTTGTTTGCACGTCAGGGGTGTGGTTCTGTAGACAAAATAAAAACAAAATGGAACGGAGGGTAAAAATAGCTCCCCATTATCATTTTCATTCTGCGGCACGGCCGGCCTGTTTTATGACGATATGAAGCCCCAGTCGATTGATAGGTCATCTACAAAAAGCTGCACATCATCCCTCCTGGAGAAGAAAATAAAATAAATGATTAATTGCTACTGAAAGATGAGCGGTTCCCTCTCCATCACGTCTAATCCTGATTTGGAATTCCAGACAGAACGGGCCTGTTACAAACCCTATTAGTCACAACCCTCGTGATTTTTTTATTCACTACAAGGAGGAGGGGGAAAATCCCTTTAGACGGCAGGCCGCAAGAAGAGACTGGGCTACCCAGATAATATCTTAACATCATCCCAGTGAGTTATGGTTACATTTCAAATGCAACCAAAAAGGCAAGGGAAAAAGGGTATCATTAGACTTCAGGGGAGCATATCAGATAAGATCTGCGAGAAAGATAACAAATTGTGAACGACAAGGAATTCTATAGTTCTGCTCAAGAACAAACATAGGCCTATTTTACAGAGAGTTCCAAGTGATAAATCAAGGGTAGGCCATCGACTTAGATAAACATAACATCAGTGTCTCTGTCCCATTATGGCGTAGTCAATGTTCTTCTTCTACTACTTCTATGAGTTGGCAAACAAACTGAAATGGTGCACACTGCCACCTAGAGTGTGTTGTTTGAACAGGTATAAAAAGCCAAGGTTGGTGATTTACTGCCACCTGCAGTTACGGAATGTTTCCTCAGGAGTATAATTCATTGACTGGTCCCGCCTGGTGACCTGGATGGAATTATGTGATCCTTCCTTAACCCATATGACATGGTTCCCCAACTGGCGGTGTGCGGACCGAATTTGGCCCCCCAAGTTTTCTGAGCAAAAAATAAAACATTTTGGGGGAGAGGGGATTTTTATTGTTGGACATAAGACTAAAAACACCACGAAATAAGCTCCAAGTGATTTTAATTTTGGACATTTATTCACACGCATAAGAGTGACACAAAATCGTCTTCAATGTACTACTTAAGTAGTTTTTGGCGCATCTGTACTTTCTATTTATATTTTTGACTACTTCTACTCCACCACAGTCCTAAAGAAAATAATTAACTTTTTACTCCATACATGACTCCCAAAAGTACTAGTTACATTTTGAATGCTTAGCAGGACAGAAAAGGTGTCCAATTCACACACTTATCAAGAGAACATCCCTGGTCATCCCTAATGCCTCTGATCTGAACACAAATGCTTCGTTTGTAAATTATGTCTGCGTATTAGTGTTCCCCTGACTCACCGGGAAAAAAAAAATATATACACTACCAGTCAAAAGTTGACACCTACTCATTCAAGGGTTTTTCTTTATTTTTTACAGCTTAATATAAGGAAGGTGAAATTATTTATACTTTTGATACTTATATATTTAAAACCCAATACTTTTAGACTTTTACACAAGCAGTATTTTACTGGGTGACTTTAACTTGAGTCATTTTCTATTTAGGTATGTTTACTTTTACTCAAGTATGACAATTGGGTACTTTTTCCACCACTGCAAATGTAAGCAAGCTTTGAAAATATGTTTTAGTCAAATATTATATACAGTGCCTTCGGAAAGTATTCAGACCCCTTGACCTTTTCCACATTTTGTTACATTATAGCCTAAATCTAAAATGGATTAAATAAAACATCCTCAGTAAAATACACACAATACCCCATAATGACAAAGCCAAAACAGGTTTTTAGAAATGTTTACAAATTTATTGAAAATAAAAAAGAAATACCTTATTTACATAAGTATTCAGACCCTTTGCTATGAGACTCGAAACTGAATTCAGATGCATCCTGTTTCCATTGATCATCCTTGAGATGTTTCTACAACTTGATTGTAGTCCACCTGTGGTAAATTCAATTGATTGGACATGATTTGGAAAGGCACACACCTGTCTATATAAGGTCCCACAGTTGACAGTGCATGTCAGAGCAAAAACCAAGCCATGAGGTTGAAGGAATTGTCCGCAGAGCTCCGAGACAGGATTGTGTCGAGGCACAGATCTGGGGAAGGGTACCAAATCATTTCTGCAGCATTGGAAGGTCCACAAGAACACAGTGGCCTCCATCATTCTTAAATGGAAGAAGTTTGGAACTACCAAGACTCTTCCTAGAGCTGGCCGCCCGGCCAAACTGAGCAATCGGGGGAGAAGGGCCTTGGTCAGGGAGGTGACCAAGAACCCAAGGTCATTCTGACAGAGCTCCTCTGTGGAGATGGGAGAACCTTCCAGAAGGACAACCATCTCTGCAGCACTCCACCAATCAGGCCTTTATGGTAGAGTGGCCAGACGGAAGCCACTCCTCAGTAAAAGGCACGACAGCCCCCTTGGAGTTTGCCAAAAGGCACCTAAAGACTCTCAGAACATGAAACAAGATTCTCTAGTCTGATGAAACCAAGATTGAACTCCTTGGCCTGAATGCCAAGCGTCACGTCTGGAGGAAACCTGGCACCATCCCTACGGTGAAGCATGGTGGTGGCAGCATCATGCTGTGGGGATGTTCTTCAGCGGCAGGGACTGGGACAATAGTCAGGATCAAGGCAAAGATGAACGGAGCAAAGTACAGAGAGATCCTTGATGAAAACCTGCTCCAGAGTGCTCAGGACCTCAGACTGGGGCGAAGGTTCACCTTCCAAGAGGACAACGACCCTAAGCACACAGCCAAGACAACGCAGGAGTGGCTTCGGGACAAGTCTCTGAATGTCCTTGAGTGGCCCAGCCAGAGAAGGGACTTGAACCTGATCGAACATCTCTGGAGAGACCTGAAAATAGCTGTGCAGCGACATCCCCATCCAACCTGACAGAGCTTGCGAGGATCTGCAGAGAAGAATGGGAGAAACTCCCCAAATACAGGTGTGCCAAGCTTGTAGCGTCATACCCAAGAAGACTCGAGGCAGTAATCGCTGCCAAAGGTGCTTCAACAAAGTACTGAGTAAATGGTCTGAATAGTTATGTAAATGTGATATTTCAGTTTATTATTTTTTTTATAAATTAGCAAAAATGTCTAAAAACCTGTTTTTGCTTTGTCATTATGGGGTATTGTGTGTAGATTGATAAGGAAAATAAACAATTGAATACATTTTAGATTAAGGGTGTAACCTAACAAAATGTGGAAAAAGTCAAGGGGACTGAACATTTTCCGAAGGCACTGCATATTTGGGCTTCTTGCGGTCAACTTGCAGTCTACAAATGTGTAATTATATTCCGGCCCCCCAACGATCCGCTCAAGAAGAAGAAAAACGGCCTGCGGCTGAATCTAGTTGATCCCTGCCATATGAAGTCCCACCCAGTTAACTACTTCAAAATGGTGAAAGTCCTCAACGGTGCTGCCCATGCTAAAAAGGGCTTTTGGGCACTAGAGTTCTCTATCTATCTCTATGGAGTAGACCTAGAAACCTAAAAATGGTTAGAGGGACAAAACCCATTTAGCTCTAAAAGGCCTGGCCTATTTGCGGAAGTTGAAGGCTTTTAAGGGGGCTGGGGCTAGATCTCTCCATGTACCCGTCTTCAGTTCAGTGGATGGCAGTTAGTGGGGCTGAGCCTGGTAAATGGATTATGTAAAGCTCCCCCTGGTCAAAGCCTCCGCGCAGGTTTAAGAGATCTCTCCCCATTTCACCCCCCCTCCCTCTCTCTCTCTCTCTCTCTCTCTCTCTCTCTCGCAGGACTGTTAGTGAAGGTCACTGCTCTCCTCCCCATTTATCAGCCTCAATGAGTCTCGAGACAAAAGATTCCTGAATTATTTGTTTTGGGAAGTGACGGTATCGGAAGCTATTTGGGGAAGTTGTAGGTGAGCTATGAAGTAAGTGTTGTCAGACATGCATTTTACTGCACAGTCAAGTATGTAGTTAAGCACAAAGAGCAATGGGGCCGAGGTTTGTCAAAAACAATTAAAGATGCGCCACAACCTCATGTTGAAAATGTGTATCCACTGAACAATACCCTTTACCATGAAGTGCTCCTTTACCCCAGACCAGAGATGAAAGCAGTGGTGCTGAATATATAGCGTTGGCAGGCTTCAGCCTGCTCCAGGCAGTTTCTAATCTATACACCTCAACTAATTATCTGAACTCTGAGAGTGCGGCGGTGAAACTAAATTGGTTCGATGAAGACAATGATTGACCTAATCAGGTGGTTAGTGTCTGGCTGAAAACAGTATTGGTTTAACGGGTTTGGAGCTGGACAGACTTTCATTAGCAGATAACATGCAGGTCACCGGCCTCCCATCTTGTGTAACCACTAACAACAGCCTACTGTTCTAGGAGTAGGGTGGCAGATCAGATTGACAGTCATTGCCTTTTAAAATATCTCACCCAACAGGGGGATGGACAAGTCATCCTGTGTGACTGACAGATAGGACTGAGGTGTGGAAGAAGAGGGTGCATTGCAGGGAGGAGTTGATGCCCTCCACTGCTTGGACTGTAGGTGGTGGCTGCTAGTGTTAACAATTAGCCCCAGGGGCAGCATACAGGCTGTGAACTGCCACTGGGGAGAATCAACATCCACACTGACAGAGAGACCGGCACTGGGCTTTGTAGCAGTGCTACCAAGCATGGGCTCTCTTTACAATGGCAAAACAAGCCTGCAGTAAGAGAGAAAAAAAAGCACTAAAGTGGGTTTCTGTATAAAGCAAACAATATCTTACTGCAAACAATGTCTCACTGCAGAGCCAGTGGAAACTACATGGGATTTAGCCCTGATTCGAGTGACTCGTATGGAATCATAGGGTAAAGTGGATTTTTTTAATCAGATTAGTTTGGACTACACTTGTCTTCACACATTAGTAAGAGCAAACACCTTAACTTGGAGTCGCTTTGTCAGCTATTAGTTCAGCTTCACTACGTCACCCCTTGCAGCTAAATATAGTACATCACCCCTAAAATACTGTTCTAACGCAATCCTGAAAGGGTGACCGTAATAACATTTACCACACCACATAAAACCATTACATGGAGCGTAGTACGTTAGTTTAAATCTATACAAGACATGAATCTCATATAGATGTTAAAGTGACATTAACAGAGGACATGAATCTTGTATAAATGTTTCCACAACGTCAAGGGGCTAAAACAGCTTTGTGAACAAGTCGAGTTTAAAAGTAGAGGGCGGAATCTGATTGGGTGGTCATGAGTCAGATCGCTCTGGGAGCTTTCAACCATCAGAGCTTTTCTTTCGAAGCAGGAACGCGAGGTAATAGGTGATAAAAGCGGGGTCCAAAATAACTCCATTAGATTCTAACGGAACTTGATGGAACAAGACTGAAGGCACTGGCCTGCATTTATTACAGCTAAAGCCATTAAGAGGCACCCACACCATTTTCAAGCCTCCTTCCATCTTTCTCTTACATTGTAGTCAACATGGCCAATTTATGATCATAACATAATAGCTTTCTATCTGAAGTGAACCCCGGCCCAAGAGCGAGAGAAGGCCAACAGCATCATTGTAGAAATGGATACACACTTGCTCCCTTAGCCCCATTACTCAACAGTGAAAAAGCGCAGTGACTGTGTTGGTGCCATTTTGAAAATGCACATCTCACACTGGGCCACCTGTTACACAGAATGGTAATGGCACCTGATGACATCTCAGGAGACTGAGGCCCAGCGCTCAGACAGAGAAATGGATGGCAGTGGAGGGGGAGAGCCATTAATCCCTCTGTGGAATGGGCTGTCAGGGGACCCATGGAGAGAGCGGTTTGGGCTCACTTTACACACTAACTACATAGCAAGAGGACAAATGTCAGACAGAGGGATATATATATATATATATATATATATAAATAAAAGTATGTGGACACCCCTTCAAATTAGTGGATTCTGCTATTTCAGCCACACCCGTTGCTGACAGGTGTATACAAATCGAGCACACAGCCATGCAATCTCCATAGACAAACATTGGCAGTAGAATGGCCTTACTGAAGTGCTCAGTGATTTTTAACATGGCACCAACATAGGAATCCACCTTTCCAACAAGTCAGTTCGTCAAATTTCTGCCCTGCTAGAGCTGCCCCGGTCAACTGTAAGTGCTGTTATTGAGAAGTGGAAACGTCTAGGAGCAACAACGGCTCAGCCGCGAAGTGATAGGCCACACAAGCTCACAGAATGGGACAGCTGAGTGCTGAAGCACGTAAAAATGGTCTGTCCTCAGTTGCAACAGTCACTGCCGAGTTAAACTGCCTCTGGAAGCAAAGTCACCACAAGAACTGTTCGTCGGGAGAGTCGGCCGCACACAAGCCTAAGATCACCATGCGCAATGCCAAGCGTCGCCTGGAGTGGTGTAAAGCTCACTGCCATTGGACTCTGAAGCAGTGGAAACATGTTCTCTGGAGTGATGAATCACGCTTCACCATCTAGCAGTTCGACTAAGTAATCTGGGTTTGGCGGATACCAGGAGAACGCTACCTGCACCAATACATAGTGCCAACAGTAACGTTTGGTGGAGGAGGAATAATGACAATGACATTCTAGACGATTCTGTGCTTCCAATTTTGTAGCAACAGTTTGGGGAAGGCCCTTTCCTGTTTTAGCATGACAATGCCCCTGTGCACAAAGCGAGGTCCATACAGAAATGGTTTGTCGAGATCGATTTGGAAGAACTTGACTGGCCTGCACAGAGCCCTGACCTCAACCCCATCGAACACCTTTGGGATGAATTGGAACACCGACAGCGAGCCAGGCCTAATCGCCCAACATCAGTGCCCGACCTCACTAATGCTATTGTGGCTGAATGGAAGCAAGTCCCTACAGCAATGTTCCATCATCTAGTGGAAAGCCTTCCCAAAAGAGTAGGGACTGTTATAGCAGCAAAGGGGGGACCAACTCCATATTAATGTCCAAGATTTTGGAATGAGATGTTGGACAAGCAGGTGTCCACATAGTTTTGGTCATGTAGTGTATGTCTGAATGCAAGTGTGCGATTGTATGTCTAGTGTGTACGTGCGTGCTCTGCCATACCTTTCTCTGTGCGGAGCCGTTTGAAGGAGTCAGTCTTCGAGAGGCCGGGGTCGGAGATGACCTTGGAACCCAGCTTGACGGTCAAGTCGATTGAGTGGTAGCCCTGGGGTAGCTTGCGGTCGTAAAGCAGGGTCAACAGCTGGGCCAGTGTCATCTCTGCCGGCAGGGGCTGACCTGAAGGGGGGTGGAGGGACGAGACACAGCATTCACAGTAAGGAACCAAAGCCTTGTGGTCACTCTCGTCACACTACCAGGCCCAGAGGGACAGAAAACACGTGACATGAGGGCTAGTGACCTATATAACAATGACTACATGTGAAGACAAGACATCATGTATGGAGTGCTGCTTTTGCCCACAGTAAATGTTTATCTTTGCAAACGAAGGTCTGATCATGTCTTTGCTTATCTTCCCAGAGTTAGGTAAAACTTGGATCTTGCTGGCTGTGATTTTCAGTACTGACAATGTCTAAAGTATCAACCGCTGGATAAACATAGGCACGTTTACCAACTCAGTGGCTTTGTGATTAGTGTCCGCCATGAGATTCGGTTGTGAGTTCGATCCTCGGCCGAGTCATACCAAAGACTGTAAAAATGGGACCCGATGAGTCTCTGCTCGACACTCAGAATTAAGGAGATAGATTGGGGGTGTACTTGTACATCAAGCTGCCTCACTCTACAGAAACAGGAGATAGGCTGCTACTCCTATGAGCTGTTCCAACTAAGGCTACTTCCGTTTCCCTTGACACCCCAGGGTCACAGCACTACAGACTAGAACAAGCCAAAGGACACTCCGGCACACTGGCTCAATGAATTTGCTTCGTCGGATGAATAGGCTTCACTTGGCGGAGGGGGGGGTGCTGGAGAGAGGAGGGGAGCTGTGTGTGTGTACACAGTACCTGGTAGCAGCTTGTGGTAGAGGTGGAAGACAGGCACGCTGAGAGTTTTGGCAGAGGGGTCCACACCTGAGGCGGCTGTCAGCTTGTCGCTCATCACACGGCCCCTCCGCGAAGGGGGACGGGGAGGGGTTGACAGGGCTCTCTTCGACTGGGACTTCAAGCCTGAAAGGGAAACACACTCCAGTCATTTTAACATGTAAAATTGACTTTTACATGCTAATGAATGTGATTCCAGAGGTGTGCACTTCTGGCTAGTGCTTCTTATCAAACACTATGTAAATATTTTAAGCTAAATACTTGATTACATTTGGGATATTTAGCCAATTTTTCTATTTATTCAAGGACTTTTTTCCATATACAAGTAGACCAATCGTTTACATTCATTTACATTCGGTGCAGGAGCTCAACATAGGGCTGGAAGCCCAGCTTTCAGCAAAACAATCCCTGCCCTCTAATTGGTGCTTTAGAATCAATTAATTAATCTATTCCTGCTAAGCCACAATGATTGGCAGGCTTGGGAGGGAAGGGATGCAGTGAGGGTTTGTGAGGAGGCGGCGGCCAAACGTGTACCTGAGGCCACGACGACACTGTAGTTGTCCTGGAAACCGCTGTCGGTCTTCATCTTCTCCTCATGATTCTTCTTCTCCTTGTCCTCTTTCTGCTCATTGATCAGCTTGGCTGTGATGCTGGGGGTGTCTGAAAGAGGGAGGGCGCATGGGGCACGTTAGAGCCACCCTCCGGCAACAAGCCATCAAAGCCACTTGTGTGAAAGAGTAGATGCTAATTGTCATAATATACAGTGGGCAACTAGCCACGTGCACACAAGTATTGACTAGAGCCCGAACGATTTATCGGTTGACCGGTATTAAATCGGCCGATTAGTTTGTTACAGATTTATTTGTATCAGCGTTTAAATTCACCAAAAAGGACCGATATGAGATGGAGAAAACACTCTGAAAAAAAGCGGGCTATTTTTTACATGGCTATAAGCCTATCTTGCCTTGACGTGCTACAGCAATACTGGACACTATGTCCCAACGCAACTAAACCAGTCGGAGAGGAGAATGAACTACTGTGAACTAACTGTTAGTGCTTCTACGGTGAGCGCTGAGTAGATAGAAGCTTTCCAGCTCAATAAAGTGTCATATACTGTTAAGTGAAGTGTCATGGGTGTCGTGACAAACAACGGATGCTAGGCCTAAATGTAAAGCAAGTGCCGTGCTAAGAACGTTCAACTCTGTGGTAACGTTACAGCCCTTTAGGGAAGCCCGCAAAATCTGGTGTGTTATATTTAATAGCCGTGGTATATCAGAACGTATACCATGGGCATGAAAATATTTACTATTTACTGGTCTAATTATGTTGGTAAGCAGTTTATAAAGCAATAAGGCCTGAGGTGGTGTGGTATATGGCCAATATACCTTAGCATGGGTATATGCTAACAAAACCCTGAGGTACCTTATTGCTATTATAAACTGCTTACCAACATAATTTTGAGGAAAGCACATTAATGTAAGCACCACATAAAATGTAGGAGCACCAGAAAGACAATATTTTTTTCATGGGGAAAAACTGTTACTGTAGTGAAAGGAGGATAAACTTCACTGATTCCAGCTAAAAATTAGCCTCTGAAAACTGAGCTGCCTTATGCTAGCCAGCTGGAAAACAACGACAAACTCACGTTGTCAAAAACGTGAGTTTGGACTACTCCCTGACAAGTCCCGCGGCAGATTTATCAGTTATCGGCTAATATTTCCACTCTAAAATAGGAATCGGATAAAAAATCCCATTTCGGTCGAGCTTTAGTATTGACATCAACCCTAATGTGTGCGCGAACAACGCTATGCAAACAACTACAGATGCAATCAGCTGACATCTAGCTTGCCCATCTCAGTCCTCCATTCCCTGAGATTTCAGATAAAATGGGCTTGATAGCAGATAATCTGGCATTAGCAATTCCAAGGGCAACTAACAGCAGGCTCCTTTAACAAGACCCCTGGCTAGCGCTAGCTGTTTGCAGCGGTCTCTGCTGTGCTCCCTTGCACATGTAAATATTGGACTATAAATTGTGCCTTCCTGTATTACCTTACGCAAAACAAAACAAATCTACTGAGCCATTTACTTTATGTTCGTAGTCTTTTCTTTTATTATTTCTTATTGTTGCATTGTCGATTAGGAACCTGCAAGTAAGAATTTTGGGTAGCGCCTGAGATTATAGGTGTGGACATCATCCCCCTAAGGAGAAGGGGACAGGCCAGGTTAGTTTATAGACAGGGCCCAATTACTATTTTAGGAAATGGAGTAGTTATTTAATAGAGCACAAGAAAAAATTGGATTCAGTGCTTCTTACATAACTCTGGGGCTTCTGGTAAAGGCCAAAACCAAATAAATAAAAATAAATCAGTGCAGCAGCTTGCACAGGGCTATTTCAATCATATGGTTGACCAGCAGGGTGCATTAAAGGGGAATGAGGGTGTGGCATATAACTGGCACTGTGTTAGACTTGTGGGTCTAACATAGTGCCAGTTTACTGTTCAAAAGTGATATCCCAAGTATAAATACAGTAAAGTATACACACTAAAGGGTAAACAAATAAGTTGATCAAAATAGTGTTTTTTAGACACCTGCAAACTTCAATGAGTAGGGCATTCAAAAAGTTGATCTGATGGGAATCCATGATGTCATCGGCCTCTCCCTTGCTTGAGGAATAATAGAGGAGCAATAGAGAACAAAAGAGGAAAGGCCCACCCCCCACTTGTGCTATGTCATGACTTACCTGGACCACCTATTGAGATGTGCCTTTTGTTAAGTACACTGAACAAAAATATAAACGCAACGTGTAAAGTGTTGGTCCCATATGCACAAAAAGTGTATCTCTCTCAAATTTTGCACACAAATTTGTTTACATCCCTGTTAGTGAGCATTTCTCCTTTGCCAAGATAATCCATCCACCTGACAGGTGTGGCATATGAAGAAGCTGACTAAACAGCATAATCATTACACAGGTGCACCTTGTGCTGGGGACAATAAAAGGCCACTTTAAAATGAGCAGTTGTGTCACACAACACAATGCCACACGTCTCAAATGTTGAGGGAGCGTGCAATTGGCATGCTAACTGCCAGAATGTCCACCAGAGAGCTGAATGTTAATTTCTCTACGTAGTTTTAAAGAATTTGGCAGTACATCCAACAGGCCTCACAACCGCAGACCATGTGTAACCACGTCAGCCCAGGACCTCCACATCCGGCTTCTTCACCTGTGGGATCGTCTGATGGGGGGTGCTGAGGAGTATTTATGTCTTTAATAAATCCCTTTTGTGAGGAAAAAATCATAATGATTAGCTGGGCCTGGCTCTCCAGTGGGTGGGCATGGCTGCCAAGTGGGTGGGCCTATGCCCTCCCAGGCCCATCCATGGCTGCACCCTTGCCCATTCATGTGAAATCCATAGATTAGGGCCTTATACATTTATTTCAATTGACTGATTTCCTTTATGAACTGTAACTCAGTAAAATCATTTAAATTGTTGCATGTTGCGTTTATATTTCTGTTCAGTATAAAATGTGATGTTAAATGAGGTGAAAAGGAGACTGGCGTGCCACTAAGTGTAACTACGTTTGTACTGACGTTCTCTCTAAACACAGTTAGCACCAGCTGATCCACTCCGTAGCCATTGATCAGAGAGCTATCTACACCTGCTTTAAAGCTAATATTGTGGGACGCTCTTCCGCATTGATGTTACAGGTTGGGTAGGTGCAGCAGACGTACCCGACACCCGGTCCAGGACATCAGCGAGGGTGGTGGATATGGGAAGGTGGAGGGTGCGGTACTTGTGCCCTGCTCCGTACATGGGGTGCTGGATCACATGGCTGGTAGCGTTAATGCGTCCCTTGTACAACTGAAGAGAGATGAGAAAGTATTAGGACAGTAGAAGTACATAATACCACTGCCACCAATGTTATGAATGGTCATGACTTCAAGTGAGAGATGGGAGTTATGAAAGATTCAGGAGCACAATGCAGGGGCACTTTTGGAGTGAATGAAGCCAGCCTTGGCTGTAGACTTCCACTCCTGCCTTCATTGGAAATAACAAGGCTTCTCATTCAGCATGAATGTTACATGTGCACAACATCGAAGGTGACATCAACTATTGCTTTCTGCGACCTGCAGGCGACAGGCATGGTGTTGCCAGAGCACGGCTCAGCCGCTTAGGGTCCATGGACAGCTCACTGCAGCTCCAAACACAACCTCAGGCCCCTCACTCAGTCCCCACTCCAGACAAAATCACTATACTACAAACACTAGCCTGGCAGGAGATTTAGATTACGTAACATAAAAGGCTGTTTGAAACATGCACCTTAAAAAAGGTACTGGTGGCTTTTAGGCAAGTCTGATACACCTCTCATAGGAACAATAATGTTCAAGAATACATATCTTGGTATGATAGCTAGCATAATAAAGTACACCATTTTTTGATTGACAGCAAATAAAAATGTCAAGTTCCCTCCAGTGAGATGCAGATTAGGGAGAAATTGAGTGAGGCTTCCTTAAATATCAAAGATCAAATGAAGTCATAATTTCAACGCTGATTAAATAAAAATGTTGAGCCAGTGTATCAAGTACATCATCAATGTTTTTTTTCAGATCTAAAAAGGCCTGATGGAGTAAAAAAATATATATTTTTTTTTAAGGTAAAGGCACCACAAAGTCTGACATTCCCTAATTCGGGCCCTATAAAATCTGCATTGAGGAGAATGTAGACGGAATCCAGACATTAAACCGGAATTCAACAATATTCAAACATTTATTGAATTTAGCAGGAAATCAACTAAATGTATTGAACTTATTAGAAAATGCATTAATTTGTCCAAGTTATCATAAGACATGAACAAAATGTATCAGTGATTCGTATTTTCCTGCAACTTTCTGAAACGGCACAGGAATCCCCGTCTGTTTGCGTGTGTGTATGTCTACACTTTGTGTAGCCGTTACCGTTAGCGATTATGCTAATGGTAGAGATTGAAAGGCTTTCCCAAAAACCTTCAATTAAATGTTACAAAGCAGCCTACCTGGCAGAATTATGTCATGATTTTTTGCATCAATCTAGTGGCCATTTGTTTTGCAAACTCTGCAATCACATGAGCACTACAGAAACATCGCTAAAGAAAAAAAATATATCTTGCTGGTGCACACTTGTAACTACACCCAAAAATCTACATGATAAAAAATAGTGGTCCCCTGATGTGGTTTAAGCATTGTTGTGGACTTAGAACATCAAATTGTATTGTTTTTCCAACAAATAAAAAGTGTGATTTTGACAGCGAAAACCTGATAAAAATTGGGGGGGAAACGAAAACCTGGAAAAAACTAAACTGAATCAGGCAAAAAAAATATGATTTTATAGGGCCCTAGCTAGGGCTTACCACAACACTGGCAGTCATGAACGCCGTAGTCGATACCGAGTTGACACGCATATTAGAGCTTATACATACCTGAATGAAAATAATGATTGCACCGTTATACAATACTGTTATACAATACATAGCCTACCGCATACGCACTGCAGAAAAACACAAAAAACTGATTTAAGATATCTTTGATACATAATTGGTCGAGCCTATACTCCAAAATTAAACAAATTCTAGTAAATCGCCTTTGATTGTGGACTGTACTAATTATGCATACTAGATAGACTGGTTACCTTATGCTACACTCCAAACTTTTTATCCATGAGTCTGGGAGAGAACTGTGATGGAAGATTTTGTGTTGGTGCTTTTCTAATAACCGTTTTCTGTTTTCATGCAAGTGACTGATTGAACGAATCCTCAGTATCTACAATTTGGCAGTACGCCTAAGACCCTTCTTTTGAGAACGAAAATCTCAGTTTCAAGGTCTCAGCTTAGCGAGAAGAAGCCTCGTGAGGTATTGGTCGGTCACATGAATGAAGCAAACGTTGATGAATTAATTATAAATTAATAAGCTAAATCATGCAAATATAACTAGTCTGTATATAAGAGATCTAACGGGACTGCCCCGGGAGAGCTCCTGACAGACATTCACTATGGTGCATCAAGTTGGTTGGAACATCTCCAGTTAACTGATAATAAACAATGATTCATTTAAGATTGACTTTGAGTGTCCCTGTGTAAGAATTTCCACAACAGAACGTATAGGCCTAGGCAATGCTGTTGGTTTGTTGATTGTGCAGGGCAGCTTACAGAGTTAGCCTAAAATTACAGTGAATTTGTATTTGATTTTGAATTGCCTAGTAATATGGCTTTTTTATATTTTCATAATTAATAGGCTGACATTACCTTTAGCTACAGAGTATCTCACCACTGTTTATTTCCATCTCCTTTCTCGCCTTCATTCCTTTCTCAAGCACGCAGAAAGGGGCTGTCAGTTTAATGAAATATGTTTTGTTGTGAAATGTGTTACTATCGATGTTCCCGAACAGATGTCACTTGATATCCCAAATTAAGCACTGGGTAGCTGCAGGAATAGGGTTGGGAAGGCCATGGCATACAGAGTTTGGGCGGTATATCACCTGTCGCGCAGCGAAAGGCTGCATGCTCCTCAAACAGTGGTTGATGCATGGAGTGAAATAAGTGTTCTTATAAGCCCAGACATTTCTATATGCAATTGCGTGTGAAAGCAGAGATTAGATGGTTGCCACTAAAAAGAACACATCCCAGCTGCAACTATATTTATTTCTAAGCTGCTCATATTAAGCACATGCTCCCCTATAAAACCGGAGTAGCCTACCCGGCATGATTGAAAAATGAACAGGTGGGAAAGTGGTCTCCATTCGCAATTAGAGTGCATACGGATGACATGTATTTTTTCCCTGGCCTCTGGTCCTGCCCATTTGATAATGGGCCATTTCTATCGAACAAATGTTACATATTAGTAAAGACAAGATTAAATTGAGAATAGTCTGATGGGTGAAAATATGATTACTTGATGAGAGAACAGCGTGTGCAGCCTGAGGCAAGGAACAGAGCGCAAGCTTTTTTTTGCGACTTTCTCAAATCATCAATAGCCTATAGTCGCCTAATGCAGCCCAAATACGTGTTGATTTCTAAGACATTCTAAGGTTTGTATCATTCACAATAAAGTAGCCAAATAACTAAATCTAGCGTATAGGACTGGTTTCAAATGATCACTTTTACTCTCAACATCATATGCGCACTTGCTCTGGAATGGGGGGGGGGAAATGTTGGGGGTAGATTGTGGCTTCTATCAATGTAATTGTCTGCATCAATTCCAATCCCCCAGTACATATATACAGTACCAGTGTGTGTGTGTGTGTGTGTGTGTAAAATATATATATATATATATATATACACACGTACAGTACCAGTCAAAAGTTTGGACACACCTACTCATTCAAGGGTTTTTCTTTCTCTTTACTGTTTTCTACATTGTAGAATAATAGTGAAGACATCAAAACTATGAAATAACACATATGGAATCATGTAGCAACCAAAAAAGTGTTAAACAAATCAAAATATATTTGAAATTTTTCAAATAGCCACCCTTTGCCTTGATGACAGCTTTGCACACTCTTGGCATTCTCTCAACCAGCTCTCTCTCACCTGGAACGCATTTCAATTAACAGGTGTGCATGTTAAAAGTTAATTTGTGGAATTTCTTTCCTTCTTAATATGTTTGAGCCAATCAGTTGTGTTGTGACAAGGTAGGGTTGGTATACAGAAGATAACCCTATTTGGTAAAAGACAAGTCCATATTATGGCAAAAACAGCTCAAATAAGCAAAGAGAAACAACAGTCCATCATTACTTTAAGACATGAATGTCAGTCAATACGGAAAATTAAAAAAAACTTTGGAAGTTTCTTCAAGTGCAGTCGCAAAAACCATCAAGCGCTATGATGAAACTGGCTCTCATGTGGACCGCCACAGGAAAGGAAGACCCATAGTTACCTCTGCTGCAGAGGATAATTTAACTACACCTCAGATTGCAGCCCAAAATAAATGCGTCACAGTTCAAGCCACAGACACATCTCAACATCAACTGTTCAGAGGAGACTGCTTGAAACAGGCCTTCATGGTCGAATTGCTGCAAAGAAACCACTACTAAAGGACACCAATAATAAGAAGACACCTGCTTGGGCCAAGAAACACAAGCAATGGACATTAGAACGGTGGAAATCTGTCCTTTGGTCTAATGAGTCAAAAGTTGAGATTTTTGGTTCCAACCGCCGTGGCTTTGTGAGACGCAGAGTAGGTGAACGGATGATCTCTGCATGTGTGGTTCCCACTGTGAAACATGGAGGATGGGGTGTGATGGTGCTTTGCTGGTGACACTGTCTGTGATTTATTTAGAATTCAAGACACACAACCAGCATGGCTACCACAGCATTCTGCAGCGATACGCCATCCCATCTGCTTTGGGCTTAGTGGGACTATCATTTGTTTTTCAACAGGACAATGACCCAAAACACACCTCCAGGCTGTGTAAGGGCTATTTGACCAAGGAGAGCGATGGAGTGCTGCATCAGATGACCTGGCCTCCACAATCCCTTGACCTCAACCCAATTGAGATGGTTTGGGATGAGTCGGATGGCAGAGTGATATAAAAGCAGCCAACAAGTGCTCAGCATATTTGGGAACTCCTTCAAGACTGTTGGAAAAGCATTCCTCATGAAGCTGGTTGAGAGAATCCCAAGACTGTGCAAAGCTGTCATCAAGGCAAAGGGTGGCTATTTTAAGAATATTTGGATTTGTTTAACACTTTTTTGGTTACTACATGATTCTATATGTGTTATTTCATAGTTTTGATGTCTTCACTATTATTCTACAATGTAGAAAACAGTAAAGAGAAAGAAAAACCCTTGAATTAGTAGGTGTGTCCAAACTTTTGACTGGTACAGTATATATATTTTGAAAATATATTTTCCTTTATTCTTTTCCACTAACCCTACCACCCCTCTCCTAATTGAAGTAAGCTAATTAAATATCCTTTCCATTTTATTCAGCCAAGTAAAATTAGATTCTTCTTACTATAATATCATATAATAAAATAATGGCACTGGACTTATAAGCGTGTCTTGTCTGCTAATTGAACAAGCTTACAGCATGACCCATAGCCAGAAAACATACAGTAGGCCAACTCATACTGTTCTTCTGAAATACATTTTCTTCATATCATGTTTCTTTAAACCTGACTAAAATTAATTATTTATTGTGACGTGCATATTAAATAGATTTATTATACTTTTTTTTTATGTAGATGTTCCAGCGGCTTGTATGCGGCTTGTATGCGGAGGCCTGGAGATGATAAACGTGTTTATGTTCATTAACGGTCAATTACCGAGAGACCGGCAGTCTTTTGCATGACAATAACCGGCTGACAAAATATCATGACCACCACAGCCCTATCCCTACCTAATGTGTAAACACATTAGCATGTAGACCCATCCTGCTATTAATCACCTACTGATCATACATAATTAACCTTCACTGATGTGTTTCCCAGGACACCTGGTTAATTTAGCACACAAATGACATTTCACATTTACATTTAAGTCATTTAGCAGACACTCTTATCCAGAGCGAATTACAAATAGGTGACCTAAATTAGAGTCTAAAAGAGAAGTATGTTTGGCTCGTCGTGCATAACCAGGAACCTTTTGGCATGCCATGCACAACAGTCATCCTTCACCTTGCCCATGGAATGACCCTTACCCTTCCCTGACACTGTTTAATTTCATCAAAACGGGATGGTGCAGAATGAGGACAATGAAACTGGAGGTTAAATTGAAATTAGCTTTAGACAATTGAAACCACTTTCTCCCCCCTACCGTGACTGCTCTCTAAACTGCTCGCATGACAACTAATAATTGAGGAGGGTGAAATATTGAGCATTCCTTTGACTGAGGTGCAGTACTGTTTCTCCGACAAGCATCAGTCTGGGGAAAGCCTGCAAGTGTGGAGGGATTTTCTGTACTGCTGGGCTGGCCTCTTGTGGCCACCTTGGGATATTACATCACTCTAACAGTTCTTTTCCTTTCCAATGCAAGTCAATAGGGAGGAGAATGAAATTGCTCGAAGTAAGGTGAGCTGATCCTAGATCGGAGCCTACGGAAACTTGGTACCCACCGGACAGGGCGACTGCAGGAAGACTGTGACCTTCTCGTCCTCTAGCATGAGCTGCAGGAAGAGCCTGCGGATGAAGCCAGAGATGTTGCCAGAGATGGGCACGCTTCCACGCTGGGGGGCCGACTGGAAGAGCTCACACAGCACCTACAGAGAACAAGAGCCCACCAAAGACACACGTTAGTAATCCATCAGATATGGTTGGTCAGGGTGGAAATGTGTGTTGTCAATGCATTCCATCGGACCTGTGCCATGAGCCGCTGGTTGTTGGGGTGACAGGAGATGCACTGCAGGAAGAAGGCCACTGTGGCGTTCTCGATGGCCGTCCTCTGCTGGGTGGTGAGACCGCTGCCCCGGGTCGAGGAGGCCAGAGAGTAGCGCGACCCTGAAGGCTGGGGTGGGGGCGGAGGAGGGGGGCAGCACGCACCACCGGAGGCAGCAGAGTGGGCTCCCGCGTGCCCATGGACACCGCTGGTTCCCCCTGCGCTGGCGCTGCTGTGGCACAGCAGGAACAGCAAAGCAGTCCACAGCGGGTTCACCTCAGGCCCACCTAGCCAGTCTTTCATGGCATGACTGTTCCCCACCTCAGTGAGGAAACGCAGCACTGGGGCTGCCAGCTCTGCAGACAGGGGTGCCCTGCTCAGAGAGGAAGAAGAAGAGGAGTGGGGGTGGTGGTTGTGATGGTGCTGCCGTCGTTCGGCCTGGGCGGTGGAGGGCAGGGGCAGGTCAGCGGCAGCCAGGAGGCCACAGCAGAGTCCGGCCAGGCTGCGGACCAGCAGAGAGGGCAGGCCTGAGTCCAGCAGCTGCTCTATCGCTCCGGGTGACTGGGAGGCAGCAGCCAGAGTGGCCAGTTGAGACTCGGACAGGGCGATGGGTGGCCGCGCGTGTTTGGAGTCGTCGGTGAGGCCGGCGCAGGTGGTGGCGTTAGCACTGGCGCTGCTGAGGTCGTGCTGCTTCTTGCCGTCGTCCGTCATGGAGAGGCGGTGCTGGGCGGCGGTGGGTGGGGCCACGATGCCCATCCAGGACATAAGCAGAGAGAAGTAGCTGGGGTGGATGTGGCACATGGAGCAGAGCAGGCTGTCTACTGCCTTCTTCAGCACCATGTTACACGGCAGGGACATGGACCAGTTGTACAGCAGTCTACAGGAGAGACGGGGACAATGGGATAAACACACTGGACTCACATCTTTCCCTCTGAAATCAACAGGTCAGAAACCTTACTCCTACTGAATATTTTCACTTGTTACATTTTTTAAAGGCTGTATACAGTGAGCTCCAAAAGTATTGGTACAGTGACACATTTGTTGTTGTTTTGGCTCTGTACTCCAGCACTTTGGATTTGAAATTATATGACTGAGGTTAAAGTGCACCGTCAGCTTTAATTTGAGGTTATTTTCATCCATATCGGGTGAACCGTTTAAAAATGGGACCAAATAAGTCACTTTTAACTACTTTAATAAATATAAGTGAATTTGTCCCAATACTTTTGGTCCCCTAAATTGGGGGACTATGTACAAAAAGTGCTGTAATTTCTGAACGGTTCACCAGATATGGATGAAAATACCCTCAAATGAAAGCTGCCAGTGGAGCTCACTGAGGATACAAGGTTAGACATGATGTCTTTTACTTGGTTTTCCCTGTTCGATGTAAAGTATTCATGTTTGCAGAGGATGTGTGTAAAATGCAAGACATACCAAGAGGCGGATGAGAGAAACTTTAGAATGAATCTACAGCTTGAAAACATCAGGGAGCTGTATTCTAACCAGCTTGAAAACATCAGGGATCTGTATTCTAACCAGCTTGAAAACATCAGGGAGCTCTATTCTAACCAGCTTGAAAACATCAGGGAGCTGTATTCTAACCAGCTTGAAAACATCAGGGAGCTGTATTCTAACCAGCTTGAAAACATCAGGGAGCTGTATTCTAACCAGCTTGAAAACATCAGGGAGCTGTATTCTAACCAGCTTGAAAACATCAGGGAGCTGTATTCTAACCAGCTTGAAAACATCAGGGAGCTGTATTCTAACCAGCTTGAAAACATCAGGGAGCTGTATTCTAACCAGCTTGAAAACATCAGGGAGCTGTATTCTAACCAGCTTGAAAACATCAGGGAGCTGTATTCTAACCAGCTTGAAAACATCAGGGAGCTGTATTCTAACCAGCTTGAAAACATCAGGGAGCTGTATTCTAACCAGGCTACAAAAAACGAGATGTTCTTCAAACTGATGGCTCAAAGCTTGCGAAAGCTCTGCTTAGCTTTTGATGACTGAACAAAGAGTACAGAATCATAGTGGATGCGCTAGCGTGAGTAAAGGACCGAACTGTTGTTTTTTTCTGACAGGATAGCACTTACTCAAAGAGCTCTCTGTTGAGCAGCACTGGGAGGTCGTAGTTCACGGGCAACTCGTAGCTGCGCCACAAGATGGCCGCCACACAGTGGAGGTGGGAGGGAGAGGGCATGATGAGGCCATACTCCCGTGACGAGGAGCTGTTCTGGCGCATGTAGCCCACGGGGCCGCTCCTCTTGTGGGCCGCCACCAGTGACGAATCATGGACCCATTGGAGAAGGGCCTGGATCCTGGAAGGAGAGACAGGGATTAGATGGTCAATATTAACATATCAAGAGCTGCTTTCATAGATCCATAATACATAGACCCAGCAGTATTAGGCTCAACACTACATCAGTAGATTTTAAGTGGTCTTTACCTGTCCTTAGTCCCAGGATCCTGTGTGGTTCCCAGCTGGTAGAGGACGTCAATGGTGGAGTCTGAAGAGAGACCGTTGAGCCTTCCGAAGAGCAGGGGACTGTTGAGGTCTAAACAGAAAAATCACAATGATTCAAGTACAATGACAGATAGAAGGCAAAGACCTATTTGTGAGATTCAAATGTTGTGTACAATGTGATCAATGAGCGTTTTATTCAAGTGGCGGCTATGTACTCGTAGGGTCGGTGCCGGAGGCCGCACAATTCCTCAGCAGGATGTCGATGAGCTTGAGGCCGATGCGGGTGGACTGCAGGCCGATCTTGACCAGCACGGCCTCAATGTTAGGTGAGTGCATGCCGCAGTAGGGGGACATGAGCAGGGCGGCGCAGGTTTGGAGCAGATTGGCAGTGGGAGCAGCAGCGCTGGCCATCATGGCCTCCAGGTCACTGACGTGGGTCAGACAGTGGTGAAGCAGACGTAGCCAGCCAATACTATTGGAGAGACAGATGGCGAGGTCAGAGGTTAGGTAGAGAGATTTCCTGTGGCACTAGTGGTGTTTTTTTAAATTTGACGCTCAAGTTACATTTAACAGAAGTTCCTGTAAGGGCAAGTATGTTTGTACCTGGTTTTAGAGACCTGGTCCTCGGAGGGCAGGAAGGGGTTGTTGACGGTAGCTGAGGAGGTGTTGCCGAAGGCGGTGAGGCCAAGCAGTTTGATCTGGGACAGGCCCAAGGTGCTGGCGTCACGAGGCCGATGCAGCCTCAGACATACCGCGGACGCCACCTCAGCCTTCACCAGCTGGATCTTGATGTAGGTGAGGCCACTGGTGATGATGGGCATGGACAGAGGCAGCATGTTTACCCCGTCTGCACTGATCTCAACCGAGACCGAGGAGGGGCAGGCTGGGGAGAGGACAAAGAGACATCGGCAGAGTTAGCAATAGTAGATGATGGTGGAGTATGTTCAACTTCATTTTCTCCAACTGGTACTGTCTGGCACAATGGTATGTTGTGGTTGACAGAAGCATGAATAATCCATGCGAAGTTTTGCATATTTAAAATGACACTAGACAACACTGGTAGGTTAATATTTGAGTGGGTGAAATAAGTGGGTCATGAGGAAAACTGTGCTTAAGGGGTAGTAGACAGTGTGCCCTTAAGGCACTTAAGCAGAGAGGCACAGCTCTCCTGCTGGTACCCGAGAGCCACTTAAACGATCAATTAGACAACTAGTGTCATTGGTTGGCAAGAGAATTCTCAGAACGGTTTAGATTGAATTCAGTCTCTGATTAGAAGACAACTGCTCTGCACTATTTCCCCCCAGGGGGTTCTGTGTTGCTGTACTCACTGGCGAGTGAGGCCAGGTGTGGCTGGATGTGCAGCTCTTTCAGCAGCACGGCAGCAGGGAGGTGGATGGTGAGGTCACACCACGCCTCCTCTGGCAGGAAGATGTAGGACCAGGCCGCTGAGCGCGCCCGTCTGTGAGGGGGTGTGGCCTGAAGGAGGACCTCCGCCGGCTGGGCCGTGGGGCTGCTGGAGGTGATGGTGCCTGCAGAGGGACAAACAGCATTTAATAGGACACATGCACATTTTCACATCAAATAGAGGATAAAGGGAGAAACTTCATTCAGAACAGGAAAGGAAAAGCTCCACATACCGAGCGGCGCAAAATTGTGGAGTCCCTCTGCGTTGTCGGGCTCGGAGGCTAGGACCCGGGCCTTGAGGCTGCCGTCTGCAGCCTTCCCTGGGCCAGTGTCCAGGAACTTCATGATGGTGGACACCATGCTGCGTGCCGTGTTCACTATGGCCCGGGTGCTGGTCACCATGTTGTTACAGATCAACTGGACCCCACCTGCACACAGGTCAAATACAAACACAACATGTTTAGTCTAATGGACAGTATACTAGGACATTTCCCCAATTATGTATTAAGCGTGTGTGCGCATGTGGGTACCCATATCATGGAACGCCTTAAGTGCCTCGCTGGTGTCCAGCACTCGGAGGATGAACCAGAGCAGAGGTTCAGACAGCTGGCATGTAGACAGAGAGCCCTGGGAGAAATACAAAGACTGCTTGAGATTAAAAAACTTTCAGCATCCATGGGTCAAACATTCATAAATCTAATCTAACAAACTGAAGTACTATAACAAGCAAAGTTATTTTTCTCAAACCTTTAATCTTGACAAGTAAAGCTCTAAACAGAAAAACGTAATGGATGCCCTTTTGGTCATGGTTGAGCTCAGTCTTACCTGTCTGCCCATGTACCCACAGGCCATGTAGGTGAGGATGGGCTGCAGCATCACCTGCACTGAGGTGGCTCTCTTGCTCAGGGAGGTGAGGATGGTGAACAGGCCGTCTCCTACAGAGATGGCATCTAGTCCGCCATGGAAGTTCTCATGCTTGGTCAGGTGGAGACCACTAGCACCTACAGACAGGAAAGTATCATCCATAACAAACATTTGAATATCTTATCTGCGAAACCTGGGATCCTTATGAATAAAGCTTTCAAAAAAGTAAGTGTGCAGATGAAGCCTACCAATGATCATAGCCATGGCGCTGCTGTTGCACTGGCCCAGAGCCGAGAGGGTCTGGCTCATGATCTGCTGGTTGGCCAGCACCATGTCAGCCACTCCGGCCGCAGGGCCCTGGTGAGGGGTGGCCCCTCCTGCTGCCCCCTCCTTGTTGCCGCACACCTTCTCCTCATCCGACGCGCTGCTGTCCGACGCCCCGCTGCCCGCCGGGGGCAGACGCCCGCTGAACTCACGGTCACCCGACAGGGGCAGCTGGACCAGGGCGTTGACTAGCTTGAGCAGGTCGAACATGAGTTGGTCGCGCGTGGTCTCGCCGCACACCGCCTTGGCGTCGCCCGGCCGGATGATGTTGGCGAAGAGGCCTCCAAAGCAGGCGCGGGCACCCACAGAGCTGTCGGAGCCACTGCGGGACACCACCTTGTCAGAGCAGGTGATGTAGTGGTGCACCAGGAAGGTGATGGACTCGATGACAGAGGAGATGGTGCTCACTGACACCACCTCAAAGTTCTGCTCCAGGGTGAACTCTAACAGCTTGACCTGGGCATCCAGAGGACCCTGGCATGACTGGAACGGACCCCTGAAGGAAGACGAGAAGAGATGGGGTCATTGACGCTGGCACTTTACAACAATTCATTGTACTGTATTGTGATGGAATCAAAAGGATGGCTTTTGTTCCAGCCCAGCTATAACACATCAGATAAATTGAAGATGACTAGTTATCATTTGAATAATGTGTATTAAGTGCTGGGGTGGAACAATAGCTGCTCTTGATGTCTCTAGACAACCTACCTCTCAGTGGACAGGATGTGCATCAGTTTGAGCAGGAACTCGCTGAACATCTGTGGGCAGGTGGAGGAGAGGTGCACCTGGAGCCTTGTGAGGAACTCTTGCATAGCTTGGGTGGCGGTGGGGCCGACCTGGGAGCTGTGCTGGCTGGTGCAATGGGGGTTTCCCCCAGACAGGAAACGCACAAGCACGTGCACCAGCGTAGGGTCCGACACCATCTGCTGGGCCGTGCTCTCATGAGCTCCCATCCCACTGCTGGAGGCTGCTGACCAAACACACACACTCAATTAAAAAGGAGTACTGTTGAAGGTCGTTTGGTTTTAATTATATCTTTGGTTACACTGCATCTTCAATATGCATTTTACTATTTCACAATCCTCAATGTGAAACATCAATAGGTGTTTTCAGGCACCGTGTCTTGAGAGTGAGACCCTGTGAAGGGTGGACTCACCACTGGAGGGCATGTTGGTCATGAGGGTAAGGGAGTGCAGCACCAGACACCAGGTCCTCAGGGAGGTGTTGGGGTACCAGGCTAGCACCGACAGGAAACTGCTGATAGAGGCTGCATTGAAACACAGGAGAGACGGAAGTTTAACATACACTTACCCATGTGAAAATACTAAAAGTGAATGGTTTGAGAGTTAAGCGGAGAAGGAAGTGGATTGAGAGACATATAGGGCGACCTCTGACCTTGGTTGAGTGGGATGGTGGGCACTCTGCTGGCGTTGAACATGAAGATGTCAGATCCACTCTCCTCAGTGCCCCCAGAGCAGGAGTTGAGACTTAGGGTCAGCCACAGCTGCAGCACAGACTCCAACTAAAGCAAAAACACATGAGCACTTTATCTACAAATCCACTAATCCAGGGTAACAAACGTATTCTTGAGAATGGTACAGTATGTTACCTATACTGCCACATCATTACCAAGCTCTGTCGAGGGATGTGTAAAACAGAGCGATGTGCAACAAGTCATTCAAGTCTTGTGGAGTAGTATAGACCCTGGACTATACCGTCTGTTGGTGACTGACCTGTACGTGGTGCACCTGGAGCATGGAGAAGAGCTTGTTGAAGCAGGCACTCAGCATTGGGATGGAGGAGGCCTGTACCATTACGCTGCTTCCTGGGGGGGAGCCCCCATGGAGCCCCAGCAGCAGAGAATCATCCGTCCCATTGGATGCCTGGGACACTGGCGGGAGAGAGGGACAAGGGTCAGCCATCATTTCCAAGACTAAAGGGTACATTCCCAAACATCTATAAATTATTTTTTCTTAAGTGTATACCTGTGGGGGAGGTTGATGTGAGCGCCTGCAAGATGGAGTCGGCCTCCAGCGTGGCCATCATCTTGAGCATAAGCTCAGCCTGCTGCTCCAGCCCCACCTCCAGGCGGGCGTCCAGAGCTGAGGGAGAGGTCAGGGTTATAAGGTGGAATGTATTCCTTTACACAAGACAAGTGTGGAATCCTATACGAGACTAAGATTTGGAGATGATATCAGGATACAAAAATGCACCTTTACCTTGTGAAACGGAGATGGAGAGACTCTGAGACCCAGGCTTTTCGACAACAGCTGGGGGCTTGGACACAGCAATTCCTACTCCCCCTATGTAGGGGTTGTAACCGTATGTACCATAGTCAGCACCCCAGTAGTCATACCAGGTGCTGCTAATAGGCTGTAGGAAGAGAGAGAGACAAGAGAAACGCAAACGTAGTCATTCCTCTCAGATGCTAGGTACCTGTATAACATTACATGCACACTAACACTATATTCCTTTGCATGCAATGGTGGAGTTTTTTCAGAAAGGAAAGTAAGAGTGAAGAAAGTAACACTTTCCCAAGTTTGTTAGTTTGATGATTGATTGGATCTACATACAGAAAAGTGCTTTGAGACTTAAAAGGCCTGAGCAGAGTTAAATTGGAACGTTTTATGGAGACGTGACGGTAAACGGCTAAGGGTGAGGTGGTGTTGGGGAGGGATTCAATAAAACTAACTTTGTATTACACACACATTTTTATTTATTTAAGTTCATGTACAAATGATGTTTGTTTTGGGCTGAATCGATATGAGCCCCAGAGGTGATCCAATCAATAACTGAATAGAAATGCAAGAGAGCATTAAATAGAGAGAGAGATGGGAGTGAAACAGAAAACACACAGGTGAATCATGCAAGTTACGTACCTTAAAGACTTTGGCGGCAAGGGGATCTTTTTCCAAATCAATATCTAAAGGATCAATATCAACATCCATGAGGTCTTGTAGCAAGTCAAAGTCAATGTCTTTATCTTTTTCCAAAGATGACAGAGGTGGAGCACCTTTGGATAACGAAAAGAGCTTTAATATTGCCAAGCAAGCACACTAAAACAGCAAACTCAGAGGCCTTCTTTTAGGAAATTACTAGGCAATTTTAAGGCCTACAAAAAATGTTTTTTTTGCAGTTCAGGGACTCGAAACAATGGATTGCTCGCCCACTCTAATCATCAAGCTCTGACAACTTTGGCCAAAATTCTGACTTGGTATAAGTTCACAAAATATGTGTTTTTGTGTAGCCCATTGAAGATGTCAAGGGAATTACGATTTGTGATAGTTTGAATTCAGTACACAATCTCAAGTCAGGATTTCTACCAGTAATTATTGCAACTTTTGGACAAATTAAATAATAGCCTCAGGAAAATAACCACCACCCCTTAAAACATTTGGATATCTTACTGGCAATAAAGCTACACTGTTTGAACTCCCCCTCCAAAAGGCAAACATAAGAAAACAGTCCATTCAGAATTAAACTGGTTAGAGAAGCTCTAAATATTCTCCTTTAAAATAAAACTAATGTCAGAACAGGAAGTCATACAAAATACAGAAGAAAATACTGAGAGAATAAACATGCAGCTAGCTAAAAGGGGAAAAAAGAAAAACAATTGAACACAAATAGATTCATCATGATAATAAAGTGAGGGGGTCCATATGTAAAATGTGGTCGAGGACTGGCCTACCAACGCACTTTGGAAAACAGAGGAGGTCCCAGGAGTACCTGCGATGATATCAGTAGTCAGGGCCTCGTCAATGGTTTCCACGAGGGGGATGGTGGTGTGCTGGGCTAGGGAGTCGTCAGAGTCTATCCCTGCTGAGGAGGACGATGCCCCTGTCTCCTCACCCACCGCCTCCTCGCCCATACCATCCAGGGACCCTGGGGACAGCAGCTCCCCTGAGGAGAGGGGACAGGAGAAGGTTAGTGCTGGGAGAAAGGAAACGACTAGAGACTGCTAGCAAAGCAAAGACTCACCATATCTTACTTAGCTAAAAAACAGTTCCTTAATGATGTGAGAATTGAACAGTGACTTGAATTGTAGCAGCACCCCCTACCTGCCAGGATGTCCTGCAGCATGCAGGTGAGGGAGTACTGGGCCCAGGCCCCTCCCCAGGAGATGTCCCCCCTGTTGAAGTCTGTCCCCACCAGCAGCAGCAGCAGACGCTCCAGCTGGTGCTCCGACACCACCTCACATAGATGGATGGTGGGCCTGGTGGCATTGGCTATCCTGGCCAAGACCTGAAAGGCAAAATCAGACATGTGATGAGCACAACTTTCTGACAATGTATCCATTTATGCAGTGCCAACCAATCCCCATCTTTGCCATTATTATTATTTGTAGCAAGTGTGCCCTCAATTCAACTCGAAGAACCCAATCAAAGTTTTTTGGCAGTGCATACCTTGCAGACGAACAGCAGGAGGTCTGCGTGGCAGGTGAAGTCCATTGAGAGGAGGAAGAGGGACAGTTTCTGCACCACGGAGATGCAGCGCTCATGGGCCAGTGTGAAGGGCAGAGGCTCCACCTCAGGGGCCTCCTTGGCGGCCGTGGCCTCTGTGTCCAGGGTGGAGCGGGGCCACTCAGCTGTACGCCTCAGACGGATCAGGTCCTTAAAGTGCTGCCAGAGAAAGAGATGGGGGAGAGATGGAGAGCGCCAGAAATAGATGGAGAGGCAGATGTCAGGCAGTGGAAGTCAATTAATACACATGGTTTAATCTAACACTATTCCAAACAGCATACTTGTAACCTGTGTGAGTGTGTTTGGCGCACACACTATGCTAAGTATATGTGTGCAGATCTGTCGTAACTTGTTGAAAGGTGACCCAAAAACATACTTGATTTTAAATGATTGTGTTCCCAAGATGAGAAAAAGCATAGAAAAATAATTATTTCATTCTTAGTCACTCGATTTCTATGGGAAAACCCTATAGCTATTCCAGCTTGATCAGTCAAAACAAAGCTTTCCTTTTCAATGCTTCTGAAATCCTCACCATTTCTTTTATTTCACCATTGCAAATGTAGTAAGTTATGGAGGTAAGGCAATGAATAGGCCATAGTGCAAAATAATTACAAATGTAGTATTAACACTGGAATGATAGATGTGCAGAATATGATGTGCAAATAGAGATACTGGGGTGCAAATGATAAAATAAATAACAATATGGGGATGAGGTATTTGGGTGGGCTAATTTCAGAATGGCTGTGTACAGGTGCAGTGATCGGTAAACTGCTCTGACAACTGATGCTTAAAGTTAGTGAGGGAGATAAGAGTCTCCAGCTTCAGAGATTTTTGCAGTTCGTTCAAGTCATTGGCAGTAGAGAACTGGAAGGAATGGCGGCCAAAGGAGGTGTTGGCTTTGGGGATGACCAGTGAGATATACCTGCTGGAGCGCATACTACTGGTGAGTGTTGCTATGTTGACCAATGAGCTAAGATAAGGCGGAGATTTGCCTAGCAGTGATTTATAGATGACCTGAAGCCAGTGGGTTTGGCGACGAATATGTAGTCAGGGCCAGCCAACGAGAGCGTACAGGTCACAGTGGTGGGTAGTATATGGGGCTTTGGTGACAGTCGCTCTGGATAAGAGCGTCTGCTAAATGACTAAAATGTAAATGTAAAATGAAAATGTGACAAAACGGATGGCACTGTGATAGACTACATCCAATTTGCTGAGTAGAGTGTTGGAGGCTATTTTGTAAATGACATCGCCGAAGTCAAGGATCGGTAGGATAGTCAGTTTTACGAAGGCATGTTTGGCAGCATGAGTGAAGGAGGCTTTGTTGCGAAATAGGAAGCCGATTCTAGATTTAACTTTGGATTGGATATGCTTAATATGAGTCTGGAAGGAGAGTTTATGGTCTAACCAGACACCTAGGTATTTGTAGTTGTCCACATATTCTAAGTCAGACCCGCCAAGAGTAGTGATTATAGTCGGGCGGGTGCAAGCAGCGTTCGGTTGAAGAGCATGCATTTAGTTTTACTAGCATTTAAGAGCAGTTGGAGGCCACGGAAGGAGTGTTGTATGGCATTGAAGCTCGTTTGGAGGTTTGTTAACACAGTGTCCAATGAAGGGCCAGATGTATACAAAATGGTGTCGTCTGCGTAGAGGTGGATCTGAGAGTCACCAGCAGCAAGAGCGAAGAACTTACCTTGGATGTGGCCTGTTTCAGCTTGGCCTGCTCCACCAACAGTTTGTATGAGGAGCCTTTGTTGCTCTGGGTCTTCTCCTTCTCAATTTGCTCCACCAAAGCTTTCTGTTTTGCCTTCAATAGATTTAACTGCTATAATGAAAAGGGCAGGATAAATATAAACATTGCAAAGACCATCTATTACATGACAAGACTTCATCCAAAGCCAGTAATAAGAGGGAGAATCCAATAACTGTGACAAACACAGATTTATGGGGTATAAAAAATGCACAACTCCATGACGTTTTTAAGACGGAACTGATGTTGGATTTGCACACATTTACCTGTTTGTGGTGCACCAGCTGTTTGCGGATCTTGCGGGAGTACAGGCGGTCTAGGCTGCTGTTGCCTTTGGCTGATCGGTTGGAGCTGGAGGACTGGAGGCTGTTATTTATAAAGCTCCACTGATTACCTTGATTCATTGGAGAGAGATGGAAAAAAGGCACGTTAGAGTTGTCTTCTTGGTTCCAAATCGATATGCAATAATATTACCCTGTTAATATGATTCATGGTTCTCAAAACTGAATAAAAATTTTTTGTAATAAAACCTTGTTGATTTTATATCTAGCCTCGCAGACAAAGGGTAATAGGATAAAGTTTATTCTAAGCCTATAACATCACTCATGCAACAAGGATGTTAGAAAAAATAAAGAGCCACATACATATTCAAAAGGGGGGAATAAGGTAGACAAAACAAGAAATATGATCACTTTTGTGATTTCTTGGCTTCATAAGTTATCAGTACCACATCTCATTGGAGAGCTACACCACCCTAGCCTACACTACGCTACCTGTCAAGGTGCGCTCCCTCTCCTTCCCTCCCAGGTGCTTCTTGCCTGCAGACGCCTCGTCCTCCACGCTGGCCACGTAGTCCAGCAGCCGTGACACCAGCATCACCACCCAGCTGATCATGGGGACGTCCAACACACCTGCCGCACACACAGACACAGACTCATAGGTTGCTGGTTGAGTCCAGAGCCCCGGGTGGCCGGTGCTGGGGCCAGGGAACACACCCAGCCCCCCATCCCTGCTGCCAGCCCCAGCCCAGGGACCCGCCACCTCCGGCTAGCCCACCTTCAGTCCTGCGCTGGGCAGCCGCCAGGGGCTGCTGTAGGGGGGACAGCAGGCTGTCCAGCAGGTTGAGCAGCCCCTCCAGCACGCCACTGTTGCTCAGGGATCTTTGGCCGATGCAGGACAGGAGCATAAAGACCCTGAGGGAGGACACACAGAGGACACTGTCAATCTCAGGAACATTGTAAAACACAATAGGTAAGTCTGGGTGGGTGCTTCTGATACATAACGATACATATGTGTTTGAATATAACAAACACCTATCTTTATGGAAGTTAGAGAGGCATCTCAATGTCACTGGTCAATGGGCAGTAACCAGTTTGCGTTGTGAGGGGAAGTGTGGACATAATGATTGTCCAAGGAGCTCCAGTTTGTCAGTGTGGTGCAATGAATCTAAATAAAGTGAGCGCAGTGGATAGAGATAGCTCCTCAGTGCATAAAGCCCACCTGTCCTGGGGGAAGATGAGCAGCTGCTCGGAGTTGTAGAGCTCCTGCAGGACGTTGGAGAGGAACTGGCCCCACCAGCGCTCCCCTCCACACAACTGCACCAGTAGCAGGCCCGCATGCAGACGGATCTTGGGTGTGCCGCTGATGCACAGGTGCTTGAAGAGTTCCTCGCAGGCCTGCGCGTGGAAGGTGCTCTGCAGCACGGACGGGACTGCGTGCCCTAGAGGGGAGGACAAGGAGAGAGAGAGAGCATAACAGCAAGTGAAAGACTGAGGTCAATTGAGAGGCAGGGAAAATATAACTAAATAATACTGTACAAGAGAAAAGTACAGTCATTTTCCTTCTAATTAAGCCCTTAAAATCAGACATCTCAATCCACTGCTTCTCCTCTATTCTACGGAGAGCCGGTGAGAGAACTACAGGGGCTGGATATAATGCATTGTAATATACAGTGGCTTGCAAAAGTATTCACCCCTCTTGGCATTTTTCCTATTTTGTTGCCTTACAACTGGAATTAAAATGGATTTTTGAGGGGTTTGTTTCATTTGATTTACACAACATGCCTACCACTTTGAAGATACAAAATATTTTTTATTGTGAAACAAACAAGAAATAAGACAAAACAACAGAAGACTTGAGCGTGCATAACTATTCACCCCCCGCAAAGTCAATACTTTGTAGAGCCACCTTTTGCAGCAATTACAGCTGCAAGTCTCTTAGGGTATGTCTATAAGCTTGGCACATCTAGCCACTGGGATTTTCGCCCATTCGTCAAGGCAAAACTGCTCCAGCTCCTTCATGTTGGATGGGTTCCGCTGGTGTACAGCAATCTTTTAAGTCATACCAAAGATTCTCAATTGGATTGAGGTCTGGGCTTTGACTAGGCCATTCCAAGACATTTAAATGTTTCCCCTTAACCAACTCAAGTGTTGCTTTAGCAGTATGCTTAGGGTCATTGTCCTGCTGGAAGGTGAACCTCCGTCCCAGTCTCAAATCTCTGGAAGAATTTCCCTGTATTTAGCGCCATCCATCATTCCTTCAATTCTGACCAGTTTCCCAGTCCCTGCCGATGAAAAACATCCCCACAGCATGATGCTTCACTGTGGGGATGGTGTTCTCGGGGTGATGAGAGGTGTTGGGTTTGCGCCAGACATAGCGTTTTCCTTGATGGCCAAAAAGCTAAATTCTAGTCTCATCTGACCAGAGTACCTTCTTCCATATGTTTGGGGAGTCTCCCACATGCCTTTTGGCGAACACCAAACGTGTTTGCTTATTTTTTTCTTTAAGCAATGGCTTTTTTCTGGCCACTCTTCAAAAAGCCCAGCTCTGTGGAATGTACGGCTTAAAGTGGTCCTATGGACAGATACTCCAATCTCCGCTGTGGAGCTTTGCAGCTCCTTCAGGGTTATCTTTGGTCTCTTTGTTGCCTCTCTGATTAATGCCCTCCTTGCCTGGTCCGTGAGTTTTGGAGGGCGGCCCTCTCTCGGCAGGTTTGTTGTGGTGCCATATTCTTTCCCTTTTTTAATATTGGATTTAAATGGTGCTCTGTGGGATGTTTAAAGTTTCAGATATTTTTTTATAACCCAACCCTGATCTGTACTTCTCCACAACTTTGTCCCTGACCTGTTTGGAGAGCTCCTTGGTCTTCATGGTGCCCCTTGGTTTGTGGTGTTGCAGACTCTGGGGCCTTTCAGAACAGGTGTATATATACTGAGATCATGTGACAGATCATGTGACACTTTGATTGCACACAGGTGGACTTTATTTAATTAATTATGTGACATTAGAAGGTAATTGGTTGCACCAGATCTTATTTAGGGACTTCATAGCAAAGGGGGTGAATACATATACACGCACCACTTTTCCGTTATTTATTTTTTAGAATTTTCTGAAACAAGTATTTTTTTTTATTTCACTTAACCAATTTTGACTATTTTGTGTATGTCAATTACATGAAAATCTAATAAAAATCCATTTAAATTACAGGTTGTAATTCAACAAAATAGGAAAAAGGCAAAAGGGATGAATACTTTTGCAAGGCACTGTATCTATTGTAAGCCAATAGGAAAAAGCAAAAAGACGGATACACAATTCTATTCTAAGTGGAAGTTGGAGGAGGTGGTTCAGTGAAACAATTATAGTTTCTGAGGTGGAAGTTGGGAGAGTTATATTTTTTTGGTGAGGGAGGCCCTGCTCTCTCCTTTCGCAGATGTTTAGTTCATTTCATTCCGATCTCCTCTGCATTATTGTAGCCATCTGCTACAGCCTGTCAACTATGCCTCTGCCTATCCCTGTTCTCTCCTCTCCGCACAGGCTACACAAACGCCTCACACCGCGTGGCTGCTGCCTCTCTAACCTGGTGGTCCCTGCACGCACCACACACCTGGAGTTCCAGGTCTCAGGCAGCCTCTGGAACTGCCGTTCTGCCGCCAACAAGGCTGACTTCATCCCAGCCTATGCTACCCTCCAGTCCCTCGACTTCCTGGCGCTGACGGAAACATGGATTACCACTGAAAACACTGCTACTCCTACTGCTCTCTCCTCGTCTGACCATGTGTTCTCGCATACCCCGAGAGCATCTGGTCAGAGGGGTGGTGGCACAGGAATCCTCATCTCTCCCAAGTGGTCATTCTCAATTTTTCCCCTAACCCATCTGTCTATCTCCTCATTTGAATTCCACGCTGTCACAGTCACTAGCCCATTTAAGCTTAATATCCTTGTCATCTATCGCCATCCAGGTTCCCTTGGAGAGTTCATCAATGAGCTTGACGCCTTCATAAGTTCCTTTCCTGAGGATGGCTCACCCTTCACAGTTTTGGGGGATTTCAACCTCCCTACGTCTACATTTGACTCATTTCTCTCTGCCTCCTCCTTTCCACTCCTCTCCTCTTTTGACCTTACCCTCTCACCGTCCCCCCCTACTCACAAGGCAGGCAATACGCTTGACTTCGTCTTTACTAGATGTTGCTCTTCTACTAATCTCACTGCAACTCCCCTCCATGTCTCCGACCACTACTTTGTATCCTTTTCTCTCTCGCTCTCCTCCAACACTACTCACTCTGCCCCTACACAGATGGTAATGCGCCGCCGCAACCTTCGCTCTCTCTCTCCCACTACTCTCTCCTCTTCCATCCTATCATCTCTTCCCTCTGCTCAATCCTTCTCCCTCTAATCTCCTGATTCTGCCTCCTCAACCCTCCTCTCCTCCCTTTTTGCATCCTTTGACTCCCTGTGTCCCCTATCCTCCCGGCCGGCTCGGTCCTCCCCTCCAGCTCCGTGGCTTGATGACTCATTGCGAGCTCACAGAACAGAGCTCCGGGCAGCTGAGCGGAAATGGAAGAAAACTAAACTCCCTGCCGACCTGGCATCTTTTCACTCCCTCCTCTCTACATTTTCTTCATCTGTTTCTGCTGCTAAGGCCACTTTCTACCACTCTAAATTCCAAGCATCTGCCTCTAACCCTAGGAAGCTCTTTGCCACATTCTCCTCACTGCTGAATCCTCCCCCCCCCCCCCCCCCCTCCCTCTCTGTGGATGACTTCGTCAACCACTTTGAAAAGAAGGTTGACGACATCCGATCCTCGTTTGTTAAGTCTAATGACACTGCTGGTCCTGCTCACACTGCCCTACCCTATTCTTTGACTTCTTTCTCCACTCTCTCTCCAGATAAAATCTTGCGACTAGTGACTGCAGGCCGCCCAACAACCTGCCCGCTTGACCCCATCCCCTCCTCTCTTCTCCAGACCATCTCCGGTGACCTTCTCCCCTACCTCACCTCGCTGATCAACTCATCCTTGACCACTGGCTATGTCCCTTCCGTCTTCAAGAGAGCGAGAGTTGCACCCCTTCTCAAAAAACCAACACTCGATCCAACTGATGTCAACAACTACAGACCAGTATCCCTTCTTTCTTTTCTTTCCAAAACTATTGAGCGTGCCGTCTTTAGCCAACTCTCTTGCTATCTCTCTCAGAATGACCTTCTTGATCCAAACCAGTCAGGTTTCAGGACTGGTCATTCAACTGAGACTGCTCTTCTCTGTGTCACGGAGGCTCTCCGCACTGCTAAAGCTAACTCTCTCTCCTCTGCTCTTGTCCTTCTAGACCTGTCTGCTGCCTTTGATACTGTGAACCATCAGATCCTCCTCTCCACCCTCTCCGAGCTGGGCATCTCCGGCGCGGCTCACTCCTGGATTGCGTCCTACCTGACCGGTCGCTCCTACCAAGTGGCGTGGCGAGAAGCTGTCTCCGCACCACGTGCTCTCACCACTGGTGTCCCCCAGGGCTCAGTTCTAGGCCCTCTCCTTTTCTCCCTATACACCAAGTCACTTGGCTCTGTCATATCCTCACATGGCCTCTCCTATCATTGCTACGCTGACGATACACAACTAATCTTCTCCTTTCCCCCTTCTGATAACCAGGTGGCGAATCGCATCTCTGCATGTCTGGCAGACATATCAGTATGGATGACGGATCACCACCTCAAGCTGAACCCTGGCAAGACGGAGCTGCTCTTCCTCCCGGGGAAGGACTGCCCGTTCCATGATCTCGCCATCACGGTTGACAACTCCGTTGTGTCCTCCTCCCAGAGTGCGAAGAGCCTTGGCGTGACCCTGGACAACACCCTGTCATTCTCCGCTAACATCAAGGCGGTGACCCGATCCTGCAGGTTCATGCTCTACAACATTCGGAGAGTACGACCCTGCCTTACACAGGAAGCGGCACAGGTCCTAATCCAGGCACTTGTCATCTCCCGTCTGGATTACTGCAACTCGCTGTTGGCTGGGCTCCCTGCCTGTGCCATTAAACCCCTACAACTCATCCAGAATGCCGCAGCCCGTCTGGTGTTCAACCTTCCCAAGTTCTCTCACGTCACCCCCCTCCTCCGCACACTCCACTGGCTTCCAGTTGAAGCTCGCATCCGTTACAAGACCATGGTGCTTGCCTATGGAGCAGTGAGGGGAACGGCACCTCCGTACCTTCAGGCTCTGATCAGTCCCTACACCCAAACGAGGGCATTGCGTTCATCCACCTCTGGCCTGCTGGCTCCCCTTCCTCTGCGGAAGCATAGTTCCCGCTCAGCCCAGTCAAAACTGTTCGCTGCTCTGGCACCCCAATGGTGGAACAAGCTCCCTCACGACGCCAGGACAGCGGAGTCACTCACCACCTTCCGGAGACATTTGAAACCCCACCTCTTTAAGGAATACCTGGGATAGGATAAAGTAATCCTTCTACCCCCCCGGGTATATGGAATTCATTGGGGTAACAGAGACAGAGCAGGCATAAAGCCAGGTAACACCAGCAGCAAGTGGGTAATACATTATTCTCTTTCATAAGAGGAGACTGGTGAAACTGTATGACGAGCAGCTAGGGAGCATCAGTAGTGATTTGATGGGTGAGAGAAGGAGATTGCTAAGCACACTTCACAGTACCATGGGCTTTCGGTTAACTTTGAACAACTTTGAAAAGTGAGTATTTGGCATCTTTTTCAAAACATTAAATATGTAGGCTATTTCATTTAAAGGCAAGTGAGAGCAGAGAAAGCTAAAAGCTGCAAATAATGTATTCCTAAAATTCTCGTGGCTTGAAAGATTTTCATGCCTCAAACATGGCTATTGAGGTACAACAATGCTTTAGGCTTATGCAAGAAGGGGAAAATACATGTATTGAGGAGGTGTGACTCCCCAAGCAGATCAGACATGCATACAGATGGACACTACCAATGTCTCCTAGGGATGTTGTTAGGACAACAGACAATCAGGTAAAGGAGGATATTGGTTTGAAGCTAGGCCAACTTTAAAGATGTATGAATATGGGACACAGTCAGAAAAGTAGATGCCATCCCTGATACAGACCCTGTGGCCCTCCCCAGATATCTCACCGTTGTTAGAGTGCAGAAGGCTGAGTAGTGTGTCCAGCAGGTAGCGGATGATGGTTCTCAGCTGCTCTGTGGATGAGTTGTGGATGAGCTCCCGGGGGTCGTAGGCCTCAGGCAGGACCTTGCGCCCGGCTCCCAGGGACACGCGGAGCCTCTGGACGGCGTGGTGGGCCAGGTTGAGTTGCAGCTGCAGCTGGATACAGTCCTGATAGGCCGAGAAGACGCGCGAGTCCTCCTCCACCGCCTTGTCGGGCTTCCGCAGGAAGTACTGTGCGTTGTTGGCACTGTTGAGTGGAGGCAGGTCGATGTTCTGGAGTAAGGTCTCCAGCCGATGGCACGCCAGGTTGTACCTAAGAGAGGGGGAGAGAGCGAGCGCAAGAAAGATGTAGGAGTCTAATGTGCATCCTATTTCCACAAAGCTTTAGTGCATCTCCATTGTTGACAATGATTGTGGACAACTGGGACTACTGTCTAGCAGATACTGTATAAAAATACATCTCATAAAACTTGACCTGCTCCATGTCACCCTAATCAGAGTTAGCTAACTGGTTGAATAGTTTGGTATGTCCTCTGACCTGCACTGGATGTCCTCCTGCAGGGCCACCATCATGGCCAAGTGCTGGTCCACGTCAGGCTGGCTGGCCGCCTCACTCTCTCCCCTTAAGGGGTCGTGCATCAGCTTCAGCTCGCTCTCCCAGGGCAGGATGTAGGTGTGGCCGTAGTAGAAGCCCAAGGGGATCTTGGCCCGGGCGTTGGTGCTGCCATAACGACCAATCACAGTGATCTGTTGGGTGAAGTGGGAGGGATGGCGAAAAGGGGGTTAAGGTTGTAGGAAAATGGTTGTGTGGAGCACAGTGATTATCACAGAATGCTCACTGAGAAAAATATATATAACGCTGCAATTTTTCTTCGGTGCCCTTAGAGTTCAGATACTTATTCTACCTTGTGAATTGGAAGGGGAGAGAATAGAAGAGAAATTGACAAAGATCTTCAGAGATAATGCACCAAAGGCACTGACCTTCATGAAGCGGCAGACAGGGGGCGGCAGAAGGTCGTGCAGGATGAGGGAGTGGGTGCTGATGTCCGTGGCAACCACTAGCCTGCGTCCGTCCACCTCCTCCCCCAGCGTCCAGATGTCGATGGACAGAGAGGCCAGGTCCCCACAGGTGGGGATCAGAGCGTCTGTCAGCAGCACGGGACGACCGAAGTCCAGCGTCACAAACCTCCGCGCTCCTGGGACAAGAGGGGAGATATTTAGGTCACACAAGAGCTTACCAAAACAACTTGGCTACATCTCAAATGGATCCCTATTTGTCATAAAGGGCACTACTCATGAGATATAAACTCAGCAAAAAAAGAAACGTCCCTTTTACAGGACCCTGTCTTTCAAAGATAATTCGTAAAGATCCAAATAACTTCACAGATCTTCATTGTAAAGGGTTTAAACACAGTTTCCCATACTTGTTCAATGAACCATAAACAATTAAATGAACATGCACCTGTGGAACGGTCATTAAGACACTAACAGCTTACAGACGGTAGGCAATTAAGGTCACAGTTCTGGAAACTCAGGACACTAAAGAGGCCTTTCTACTGACTCTGAAAAACACCAAAAGAAAGATGCCCAGGATCCCTGCTCATCTCCGTGAACGTGCCTTAGGCATGCTGCAAGGAGGCATGAGGACTGCAGATGTGGCCAGGGCAATAAATTGCAATGTCCATACTGTGAGACGCCTAAGACAGCGCTACAGGGAGACAGGACGGACAGCTGATCATCCTCGCAGTGGCAGACCACGTGTAACAACACCTGCACAGGATCAGTACATCCGAACAACACACCTGCGGGACAGGTACAAGATGGCAACAAAAACTGCCCGAGTTACACCAGGAACGCACAATCCCTCCATCAGTGCTCAGACTGTCCGCAATAGGCTGAGAGAGGCTGGACTGAGGGCTTCTAGACCTGTTGTAAGGCAGGTCCTCACCAGACATCACCGGCAACAACGCCGCCTATGGGCACAAACCCACCATCGCTGGACCAGACAGTACTGGCAAAAAGTGCTCTTCACTGACAAGTTGCGGTTTTGTCTCACCAGGGGTGATGGTCGGATTCGCGTTTATCGTCGAAGGAATGAGCGTTACACAGAGGCCTGTACTCTGGAGCGGGATCGATTTGGAGGTGAAGGGTCTGTCATGGTCTGGGGCGGTGTGTCACAGCATCATCGGACTGAGCTTGTCATTATTGCAGGCAATCTCAACGGTGTGCGTTACAGGGAAGACATCCTCCTCCCTCATGTGGTACCCTTCCTGCAGGCTCATCCTGACATGACCCTCCAGCATGACAATGCCACCAGCCATACTGCTCGTTCTGTGCGTGATTTCCTGCAAGACAGGAATGTCAGTGTTCTGCCATGGCCAGCGACGAGCCCGGATCTCAATACCATTGAGCACGTCTGGGACCTGTTGGATCGGAGGATGAGGGCTAGGGCCATTCCCCCAAGAAATGTCCGGAAACTTGCAGGTGCCTTGGTGGAAGAGTGGGGTAACTTCTCACAGCAAGAACTGGCAAATCTGGTGCAGTCCATGAGGAGGAGATGCACTGCAGTACTTAATGCAGCTGGTGGCCACACCAGATACTGACTGTTACTTTTGATTTTGACCCCCACTTTGTTCAGGGACACATTATTCCATTTCTGTTAGTCACATGTCTGTGGAACTTGTTCAGTTTATGTCTCAGTGTTGAATCTTGTTCTGTTCATACAAATATTTACAAATGTTAAGTTTGCTGAAAATAAACGCATTTGACAGTGAGAGGACGTTTCTTTATTTGCTGAGTTTATATACACTACCATTCATTCAAGGGTACTAAATGATTCCATATGTGTTATTTCATAGTTTTGATGTCTTCATTATTATTCTGCAATGTAGAAAATAGTAAAAATAAAGAAAAACCCTTGAATGAGTAGGTACTATATATATATATATATATATATATATATATATATATATATATATATATATATATCACATACATACACACACACACACAAAAGTATGTGGACACCTCTTAATATTTGTGGATTCGGCTATTTCAGCTACACCCATTGCTGACAGGTGTATAAAATCGAGCACACAGCCATGCAATCTCCATAGCCAAACATTGGCAGTAGAATGGCCCGTACTGAAGAGCTCAGTGACTTTCAACATGGCACCGTCATAGGATGCCACTTTACCAACAAGTCAGTTCGTCACATTTCTGCCCTGCTAGAGCTGCCCTGGTCAACTGTAAGTGCTGTTATTGTGAAGTGGAAATGTCTAAAAGCAACAACGGCTCAACCGCAAAGTGGTAGGCCACACAAGCTCACAGAACGGGACTAGCGAGTGCAGATGCGCGTAACAATAGTCTGTCCTCGGTTGCAACACTAACTACCGAGTTCCAAACTGCCTCTGGAAGCAACGTCAGCACAATAACTGTTTGTCGGGAGCTTCATGAAATGGGTTTCCATGGCAAAGCAGCCGCACACAAGCCTAAGATAACCAATGTGCAATGCCAAGCGTCGGCTGGAGTGGTGTAAAGCTCGCCGCCATTGGACTCTGGAGCAGTGGAAATGTGTTCTCTGGAGTGATGAATCACGCTTCACCATCTGGCAGTCCGACGGACTAATCTGGATTTGGCGAATGCCAGGAGAACAAAACGTGCCCCAATGCATAGTGCCAACTGAAGTTTGGTGGAGGAGGAATAATGGTCTGGGGCTGTTTTTCAAGGTTTGGGCTAGGCCCCTTAGTTCCAGTGAAGGGAAATCTTAATCCTACAGCATACAATTACATTCTAGACGATTCTGTGCTTCCAACTTCGTGGCAACAGTTTGGGGAAGGCCCTTTCCTTTTTCAGCATGACAATGCCCCCATGCACAAAGCGAGGTCCATACAGCAATGGTTTGTCGAGATCAGTGTGTAAGAACTTGACTGGCCTGCACAGAGCCCTGACCTCAACCCCATCAAACACCTTTGGGATGAATTGTAACGCCGACTGCGAGCCAGGCCTAATCGCTCAACATCAGTGCCTGACCTCACTAACGCTCGTGGCTGAATGGAAGCAAGTTCTCGCAGCAATGTTCCAACATCTAGTGGAAAGCCTTCCCAGAAGAGTGGAGGTAAAGGGGGGTCCAACTCCATATTAATGCCCATGATTTTGGAATGAGATGTCCGACAAGCAGGTGTCCACATACTTTAGGTAATGTAGTGTATATGATCGAGTTTCATTTACAACTGTTAACCCAGGTAAAGAGGCACAAAAGGTAACTGTACTTACCAGAGTGCATGCGCTCGATGATGATGGACTGCTGTGGAGGAGGCTGGAGGAAGTGAGAGGCTTGAGAGAGGGCCAATGCCAGACCGCTGCCCATGGGGTTCTGCAACAAACAGATGCTTTCCAGTCAAAACATATAGAATATAAACTTCTTATTTGAAATATTTTATTATGTGACAAAATGTAACAAAAGTCCCTTGATGATCATGTAAAAGCCCAAACCTAACTGCTGTGCTATGAGCTATTGCCATTTTACATTTTAGTAATTTAGCAGACGCGACCTTTCGGTTACTGGCCCAATGCTCTTAACCTCTAAGCTACCTGCAGCCCAAGAGTATGTGACTGACCGGCTTGGCTTTCTGGCTGTTCTTGTTGTGTGCAGCCAGGTTGACAGGCGGTGGGTCCATCATGGAGCCAGGGAAGAGCTGGGCCAGCTCCACACTAATGGCTGCCGACACCGCCTCGTTGGGTGGAGTGAGGGGTGGCGTCATGAACAGCGGGGTGGTCTTGGGCGTGGGGGGGATGACTTCAGAGGGGTGGATGAAGAAGCCAGGGGTGCTGGAAGGCACAGAGTTGTGGATGGGTCCCACGCCGGAGGCTGCAGCTGCTGAAGTGGTCTGATGCAACTTTGCCTCCAGCTTGGCCTTCTGTTCCGAACAGACAGGATTACTACTCGGCTAAAACTGGCAAATATCACACTGATACATGAAGTCTGACATAAGATATTGGTGTTTGTGCATATAGTGAGTGCTTGGATAAGAAGACGCATGTATATGCACCTGTGAGAGTACATGAGTGTATGCCTGTGCCTTTGTCCAAGTGTATGGGTGTGAATACATGTGTAGGGACATGTCTGCATGCAAATGTGCCTGTATGGGTGCTAGAGTCCCTGACCTGTTGCTGTAGTTTGAGCAGCTGCTGTTGTTTCTCCTGGAGCACCTGCAGCTGCTGCTCTGCAGACACCATGGCGTGGGACAGCGACTGCAGAGCCACCTGGGCTGCAGAGCTTAGCGCCGTGGACGCCTCGCCCACCGTGCCCGCCGACAGGCCACCCACCGCCGGGGTCACCCCGAACGTGCTCACTGGGAGAAGAGGGCAAAGGTCAGGAGTATGAATCAAAATCTCTGAGTAGGAATTGTGAAGATGGCCATTTTTAATATTCCGTTTCACAAAGGGTCTGAATAAATCTTTCCAAAAGTTGAAAAAAGCAGGTGAGGTAGGTACCTGTGAACATGCTTGCGTCGTCCCTCTCCACCCTGGTGCCATCGCTGGTAGAGATACAGGTAAAGTGCAGCGGCTCCACCTCCAGGAGCCCAGTGAGGGCCGTGAAGCTACCCTCGGCTGCCGCACAGCTGCTTACCTTGCCGTTCCCTGCGACAGGCACACACACACACACACAGGTTAGGTCACACACACCAGAGTACAGCCCAGACCAACATTAACCCATTGATGAAGGGATTGGATAGGTGTAAGCAATATGGTGGAATGTGGTACAGACCTGAGAGAATTTCGGAAAGGTCAATCTCGTCAGACTGGATGCCGATGCTGCTGTTGAAGGCATTCTTACAGGAGGAGCCGCTGACCTCCAGGTCAAAAAGCACTGGGTCGAATGGGGAGCTGTACAGGCCGTATCTGGGGAGGAGACACGGTACAGAGCGTTACAATACACAAAGAGACAAGCTGGGTTCAACACTAACATTACAGTCAGTGCTTTTTGGTTTCTTTAGGACCTGATTGGGGTTTAAGGATACTAGAGGGTGAAAAGGCCCACCTGGTCTGTAGCAAAGCCTCCAAGGGCGTTAGGCGGTCCTGCAGTTGCAGGGAGACGGCGGTGAGCAGAGAGGCACAGGCCGTGCTGCAGCCCGCCAGGTCCTCATCCTTCACATAGTTCAGCAGCACAAAGTACCAGAACACCGACCCTGAGAGAGAGCGAGAGAGAGAGACGGAGAAAGAGACTTAAACACATGCCACTGCCTTGCAAAACCATGCACTTCCAAAACAATGCTGCTGACAATGCAGTAGCCTTCTACCCATGCTCAAAGATAACACAACCATGACATCAGGAAAAACATTATTTCTACTTACCACCTGTTGCTGCTGCAGGCAAGTAAGGCATATTGTCCAGCAGAGCATTCAGGAGACCCATGCCAAAGCCCTGCTGACTGGGTTCCCCTTTTCCATTACTGACGACGTAACAGACAAAAACAAGTTACAAATGTACACACCTACTGCATCACACAATCATCAACAAGGAGTATGACAGAGTATGGGTCACAAAATGATGTCACAACATCCATGAAAAGTCCAACTCACCTAATACAAAGTGCAAGAAAGCGGGCGCATTTGTGGGCTATACTCCGTCCAGCCTCAAAAAAGCACACCCGCACAATGTCGGTCAGCCGTTTCCTCGTTTTCATCAGCAGAGCCTCCTTTCCTTCTCTCAGGCTGGAAGGAAAAGAACCAACATGTTCATAGTAATAAACACACTACACTGTGTGGAAATTAGCGATGTGAAATTGTGAACGTTAACAAAAAATCCCTTGTCCCCCCCCCCACAATTTAAATCACAGTTATTACAAAACATATTCTTTGCCGTTATTGCCTAACTAGACGATAGGCTATAAAGGCCTGGGGAAATTTGTGTCATTTAAATACAACCAGAGAGGAAGAGGCAAACTTTAGGCTACTTTGGTGAATTTGCGAGGAGGCATGCAAGACAAGACATTGCGAGATACAGATTACCAAGACAGATGTGCACGGTTCTGCCTCCCCCTCTTCTCTCTCCCTCATACTGGGCTGCATGCTCTTTCTCTTCGCTAATGATGCCAGTGTGTATTCAGCCTTCGGTTTGTTGCATGTAGAATATCCTAGCCTTACCATTGAGACATTGCAAACCAAAAAAATCACGAGACACAGCATTCCATTGCGAGATACAGCTTTTCATTACCAATAGATAAGCCTAGTGCAGGGTTCTGACTGTCTGCCTGGTGGCCGAACTGCCTATACTGTGCCCCTCCCCTCTCTCCCTGTCCCTTGCTAGCTCGCTATGAAAGACGCAAGTGTTTGTGTTCTCGGAAGTACGCAACTAATCAGTCTCCTCCTTTCCAAAAAAACAATCTTAGGAATTGAAGTACAGTAATGGTAGTACAGGGGCAATAGTTAACCATCTGAAAGGGACTCACTGTGAGACCCAAACCATTGCTGGCAACAGCTGCATTGTGAGTTCACATGGAAATGTATATTTGTTGTTTTTTGCTTCGGAAAACCAATAAAAAAAAATGGCTGTTTAAATTGTCCATTTGTCACATCCCTAGCGAAAATGTTGAGATACATAATGTGACCAAAAACAGTACAGTAATATCTAATCTCAGAGCCATATAAACAAGGTAAAGTACAAATGGAACGCAGACCATGGATGCTGTCATTGGCGGGCGTTCAAAAAATCTGATCTATTAAAGTGGATATTCGTCAAATCCGACATGATTTGTGTGTTAACATGCCCACAATGTGGTTCCTAAAATCCAATTTGGATATATTTGGCTGTTTTCGCTGCATAATATTTAGAAGTTGTCCTTTTCGGGTTTAGAAAAGATTACAGCTAAACGCTTACGCCTTTCCGTACAAGCTGGTTGCATAGCATAGTATGAAAAATGTATGCACTCACTATCTGTAAGTCGCTCTGGATAAGAGCGTCTGCTAAATGACTAAAATGTACATGTAAAATAGCTAGCCATATAGAAATCGGTGGTGGTAGTTGAAGCAGTTTTTAAGTGTAATGCAGTTGATTGGTGACAACGACATTAACTATTGGGGTTGGCATCCATACAAGCATTATACTCCGATTTGTACTCGAACAGTGTAAAATACACATATAACCAGCCTAAAAGTAGGGTAATTTTGATGGGTGGCAATGAAGAGGTTCTGGATCTTTCCCCCGCGTGGCGTTTCCACTGTTCTGGTCTAATTCCATTGATCTCTTTACTGCATGTATAGAGTAGCGAGATCTCTTTATCCCTATGAATATCTCATCCTCTTGAATCCCACTTTCATCCTCTTAGGCCCACCTGCAGGGTCCATTGGAGTACACTCCAGCCAGCCAGCAGAGGCAGTCCAAGATGAGGCTCTGGGAGTGCTCTGTGCCAGGGCCCTCGTCCGCCCGCTTACACAACCCGTTCAACAGCTTCTCATGGAAATCTGGGAACTGCAGCATGGCACAGCGCTGGACTCTGGAATAGACAGAGGAGCAACATACAGACAATTCAGTTAGTTATGTTTTACTACTATGATATAACGAGTATTAAAGTAACAAAACGCATGTCAGTTCTCAATATACAGTGTAAGGTGAGGAAATAATGCATTTTATTAAGGTGTTGGGATTTTACAATAGTTCTGTGTTTTTTGTGAAACAACGGTACTAAAGCCTTCACCTTTCTTTGGGTATGGAGGTCTTCTTAAACCTTCTGATTGTGACGGACACCTCCTGGAGCAGGTCGCAGCCGCGGAGGTTGTCATGTTTCTTCGACTGAGCTGGAGAATCTGCTTTGGAAGTGGAGGCCTTTTCCTAAACGGGAGAGACAGCAATTTTAAAAACAGATAACAGTACAGTGTTACATCAGAGAGGTACAAAGAGGGATATTTTGAAATTCTAGAGCTGTAAACTAACAGAGAGAAAATGTCCTCCTTCAAGAATGGGACGTTGCTGGTATGAGGAAGCCACATCCAAGCAATTTGACACCAACTTCTCACTGAGAACCTGGCAATAGCACTATACTGCCACCAGATGGAGACAAAGGAGGACACTCCAATCAAGGCCTTCCATGCACTCAACTTACACAACTGCACAATCAGTCAAGAATGCCTCATGTGTGCAGCAGAGAAGGACTCCTGAAATAAAAAACTTTGATGCAAAATTGAATTTGTTTTCCAATGCTTTGCCCTCTGTACCTTGGTGGCCTGTGCCCTCTGCAGCAGGTTGGAGAGGGAATGGCCCTTGCTGCTCTGGGGCTTGGCAGCGGGCATCCTCACCACAGGCCTGGGGCTCTCCTCCATGCCCTTGTCGCTCACCGCCTTGATGTGCACCAGGAACGAGCGGTACTTTCCCCCAGCCATGCCTGCAGGGATTGGGACAAACCAGCAGAAACCACACTGAAAACCTCTAACATACAATACGTACATAGACAGGGGGAGATGATTCAGAGCAGCGGCATGGAGATAATCTTTTGCTCTCCAAGAAAAGGTTGGGAGGACACAAATCGGAGGGACAAAAATGGCCAAGGTAAGATTTCTTCAACGTGACTCAATGTAAAAGTTTGCAGATATTGTTACCTTTGACCAGCTTGGGGCTGGTGAGGCTCAGCATCCCAGCGTGGCCTGAGAGGTCCAGTCCACTGGCCAACCACACGGGACCACACAGGATATCCTCCTTATGGTCCTCTAGGAAGGTGCACAGCCTGGAGCCTGGAAAGGGAAGAGCAATGTGATAAAAACTCTGCTGGGCTGAGGAACCCCTCGGATTGCTGCTTTACCCACAGAACCACCAGTAACACTAATCTACAATCTGGCAACCCAATCCACAATAATCATGTGTCAAACACTGACTGTGTCTATCAACCCTGGCTGCCTTTCCATGCAGCTTTCTACCTGATGTCTCGTCGATGTCCATGAACTGGATGTCGTCTGTAAAGTCGTGCAAAAGTGGCTGTCCATTCCTCTCCCCATTGGCATGGAGGACATTGGACAGGGGGAAGGAGATCTGTCTGTCAACTGCCGTCTCTGGAGAGAAAAGGAAATAAAAACTAATTGAGACAGTAGGCAGCAGAAGCAAATATGGACATCTACAAATAAGATCCGTCATGCATGATCATAAATTATATGATCAATATTTCCCTGCAAAAAGGCTGGTTATCTATGGCAGCCAGTCCTCTTCATAGCAGGTCTCCAGACTGCGACCCTTTGACTTGACTGTGCGAGTTAAAAATGTTATTGTCGCACTGGTGCGAATTGCACATTCTACCTGTCACCTCAGTCAAAACGTCATATTTTGGGGCGAATAAAACCATGAATCTGTCAAACAGCAAAGTGCATTATTGTCATGATTCCTGTAATGAAAGTGTCTGCCCTGCCGCTGTGCTGGCTGCTCAAAACAAGAACGACGCTGCATCCACGTTGCTGGCTAGCTAGCTAAATGCCATTTAGCTAATGCACTGAGTTGGGCAAAGAAAAAGTTAACTCTAATACAGGTTGCTAGATCAGCATGTTGTTTGTGCAACAGTATGTTCTGAATCAAGAGAGCCTATATTCTAAAATCTTTGTATAAAATTAACATCTATTCTAATGTAATTAGGGTCCCCTGGAAAACACTGACCAACAATTTGATTTCTACCCTGTCATAAATACTACCTGGCTTTTTAATTTGTTGTCATGGCAAACACCAACCATAGAATTTGAATAATAATTATATATATTTCTATCATTCCAACAGTTCACCCAAGTGTTGTGATCTTTATCGCAAGTCAAATAGCAAATCGCAATATTTGGTTGAAATAAACCCAATTAGATTTTTTGCCCCTATAGTATAGCCCTATTTGAAAGCAAGTACCGGTACTAAAGAGAGGTGGGTCTCAGATATCTGTAGGTATATATTTTGTTTCGCGTCCCACTTCGTCAGGTGGTGAATTAGCACCAATTTAATTGGGCCTATAGGGTAATCCATTTACATTTAAGTCATTTAGCAGACGCTCTTATCCAGAGCAACTTACAGTTAGTGAATGCATACATGTATTTAAAAATAATAATAATTCATACTGGCCCCCCGTGGGAAACGAACCCACATCCCTGCCGGCCAAACCCTCCCCTACGCTGGACCAATTGTGCGCCGCCCATGGGTCTCCCAGTTGCGGCCGGCTGCGACAGAGCCTGGACTCGAACCAGGATCTCTAGTGGCACAGCTAGCACTGCGATGCAGTGCCTTAGACCACTGCGCCACTTGGGAGTTTGAATTAAATCACTTTTTGACAGCACCCCTTTTGATTTGAACAAAACCTAACATACATACAGTATTTGCCCATTGTAGAAGTGCTCAGAAATTGACTTTTTGGACCTGAATGTCAAAACATTCAAGAGATAAAGATGCTCAAAGTTGACCTATTTTGCATACTCCACCATACTATAAGACATCCATGTCTTCATCACTGGAAAAATATACACTTGCGATTGATATCACTTAAAAGCTTACAACAAACAGGGTTGTCAAACTATTTTATAATTTATTTTTAAAAAAAAATTTTTTTTTTTTATTTAATATGTTTTTCCTTAAAAGGTCAGTTATCTAAAAACGCGTAAACGCCAATTTTTTCCATATTCCCATATGTCGTTTGCCTGGCTACCCAAAATCCATGCTCCGGCCAAACACAACGCCACCCCACGGACTTTAGTTTCTTCTCCGCAATGAGTCTGGATCCTGGTACTGATTGGTCCCAGAAACCCATGGGTTGGGCCAGAGCAGGAACACACGTGTCTACAGCGGCGCTTTGAAAATTCATCATGATACTCTGATTGGTTAGAGATTACACAAACGCTGATGACTTTGTTCTGTACAACAACCCTCATTTTCATGTCACCACAAACGACATCAACGATTGCAGTCTCAGACTGAAGTATGTAGCGAACATAGAGCAGCGGAAGAATTCAGCTTGAGTCGTCAGGCAAATATGTTGTAGCTTAGACTATTTTACATCTGAGGTTTTAGTGTTGTGCCCGCCATTGGTTGAGACGACATGCTCTTGAATACAGGGTGGGTGTCATATTTTGGTTGATAAATACACTAAAACGGGAATAAAATGTCAACTTTCAAAATGGTACCACAAAGATGGTTGGAGGTCCACATAGAGACTGTTGACTTGAATGTGAATAGGAACATAGGACATTTATTGAAATCATAAAAATATAGATAGAATAGACTGAAAAGGTTTGTGGCACCAGTGCCACCAGGTGAAAATGTTAGTCCGGAGTCCTGCATAGTCTATGTTCCAGATACTATATTTAAACAATTTTCCAAGGCAACATAGAGATAGGTGAGTGACCTTACCGTTGACCTTGCCCAGACCTGGGGCCTTGTTCTTCAGCAGGGTGATCTGGATCTGAGGAATGTTAGTGATGTTGGCATTCATGACGAACTTGAAGTCCACGTGGCCCACCATGCAGGCCTTGGGAAGGACCAGTTCAAACACATGCTCGTCCCAGCTGGAGCTACAAACAACAAAGAAAGCATGGCCGCATTATTCCCCTACTCAAATACTTTCTCAAATCAAGACATCCTAGGCTACTTTTTTTAATTGTTATAGGAGCTTGTGAGATTATCATACAAGTTAAAAAGGAACATGTAGGTGTGCTCCTCAATTAGGAATTTATAAATGTGTGTGTGTGTGTGTGTGTGTGTGTGTGTGTGTGTGTGTGTGTGTGTGTCTATTCCAAATGTAGTCATTGTGATTGTTTATGTATTAATAGTGTGACGTTTGCGGATAGACTTACAAGAAATGCCTCACCGACTACACACACCCCCATAAGGATTCTACTCACACCCATACCCACCCAGTCACACCCACACGTCCGTACCTGTCACTCTGCAGCTTCCAGGTGCGTGTATGCTGGGCGGCGTCTCCATGGTGCTGCTGGTGCAAGTGCTGGGGGTGGCGACGCTGCTGCTGCTCCTGCTGCACCTCCACCCAGCAGGGCGGCACTGTGGCTGAGAAGCGCGGCGTCAGTGTTTCGAAGCGCGTCAGCTCCACCAGCGACGTTAGGCTCTCCACAGCCAACGCTTGGTCCACCAGGAGGTCAACTCCTTACCGGGAGAGGAGGTTGGCAGATTTTTTAAAAAGGAGGCCACAGCGATGTAAAGAACTTATGAAACTGGAAAATGTATTGTTGCTTTTTCCACAGTCTGGACAGTATAATGCTGTCAATCAGCATATGATTTCACTGGAAAGAGGGTTCCAATAAGCAATGACTAGTCAGTTCTCAATACCCATTACATTTATTTCATAGGTGTTCATAGTCAGCAATGGTGAAATGAGGCAACAGGGCTGCACACAGTCATTGAATGAACAGAGAAGCAGCAGAGATGTGAAGGGTAAAGGGGTCTGTGTCTCCTACCTGTGATCCCTGGGCTTGAGGGGTTGGAGGAGGGCTTTGTCCCCTCCAACAGCTGTTCAGCCCCTTTAGAAAGGGGGCCATCGACAAAAATGTCGCCGTCATCTATATCGTCACACACACCTCCAATTTGAAGGAAATGAAGTTCTCCACCTAGAAGGGAGGGGGGGTTAGATGACCGCAGTAAGACGGCTAACATTCTAAATATTAAATGGATCCAAATACTTGATAATAAAATGACAACTATGCAGAAATGAATTTAAATCACAATAACTGTTCTACCAAAGAGGAAATGGAATTCCCCTTAAAAATCGCTCATCCCTGCTTGAAAATATGTATATTTTATCATATTACAACTAGTGATGTGGGCGGTTATTCAAATATTAGAATATCAGAACGGCCTTCGGTATTAGAATACGTGTGAATATAATATTTTGCAAGAGACAATACGCCTATTTTAACACTGAAAAAGCTTTTTCTAAATTAATATATCCATGTGACATTGTTACATACAAGGATGTACAGTGCCTGCAGAAAGTACTCATACCCCTTGACCTTTTCCACATTTTGTTGTTACAGCCTGAATTTAAAATTGATTACATTTAGATGTGTCACTGGCCTACACACAATACCCCATATTGTCAAAGTGGTATTTCAAAATGTTTCCTAATTAATTAAACATGAAAGGCTGCAATGTCTTAAGTCATTAAATATTCAACCACTTTGTTATGGCAAGCCTAAATAAGTTAAGGAGTAAAAATGTGCTTAAGTCACATAAGTTGCATGGACTCACTCTGTGTGCAATAATTGTGTTAAACATTTTTTTATGACTACTTAATCTCTGTAACCCACACATACAATCATCTGTAAGGTACATCAGTTGAGCAGCGCATTTTAAACACAGATTCAACTGCAAAGACCAGGGAGGTTTTCCAATGACTCACAAAGAAGAAAGCACATATTGGTAGATGAAAAAAATAATAATGAAAAAATGAAAATCAGCATTGAATATCCCTTTGAGCATGGCAAAGTTATTAATTACACTTTGGATGGTGTATCAATACACCCAGTCACTACAAAGATACAGGCGTCCTTCAAAACTCAGTTGCCGGAGAGGACAACGGTGACTTTAAAACAGCTACAGAGTTTAATGGCTGTGATAGGAGAAAACTTAGGATGGATCAACAACATTGTAGTTACGCCACAACACTAACGTAATTTACAAAGTGAAAAGGAAGCCTGTACAGAACAAAAATATTCTAAAACATGCAACCTGTTTGCAACATGGCACTGAAGTAATACTGCGAGAAATCTGGCAAAGCAATTCACTTTTTGCCTTAACAAAGTGTTATGTTTGGGGCAAATCCAATCCAACACATTACTGATTACCACTCTCCATATCTTCAAGCATAGTGGTGGCTGCATCATGTTATGGGTATGCTTGTAATAGTTAAGGACAGGGGAGTTATTGAGGATAAAAAAGAAACGGAATGGAACTAAGCACAGGCAAATTCCTAGGGGAAAACCTAGTTCAGTCTGCTTTCCACCAGACACTGGGAGTTGAATTCACCTTTCAGCAGGACAATACCCTAAAACACAAGGCCAAATCTACCATGAAGATCGTGAATGTTCCTGAGTGGCCTAGTTACAGTTGTGAATTAAATTGACTTGAAAATCTATGGCAAGACCTGAACATGGTTGTCTAGCAATGATCAACAACCAACTTGACAGAGTTTGAAGAATTTTGAAAATAATAATTGGGCAAATGTTGCACAATCCAGGTGTGGAAAGCTCTTAGATTTACCCAGAAATACTCACAGCTGTAATCGCTACCAAAGGTGCTTCTACAAAGTATTGACTCAGGGGTGTGAATACTTATGTAAGAAATTTGCAAAGAAATGTAAACATGTTAACTTTGTCATTACAGGGTATTGTATGTAAAATATTTAATCCATTTTGAATTCAGGCTGTAACAACAAAATGTGGAATAAGTCAAGGGGTCTGAATACTTTCTGAAGGCACTGTACCATGACACTTTAAATTATGCATTACCTCGTACCCCTGCACATTGACTCTACTCGTACTCCTTGTATATAGCACATTATTGTTTTTATTGGTAGCAAATATGTGTCTGGCTTTTTAACTCTGCATTGTTGAGAATGGGCTCGTAAGTAAGCATTTCACTGTAAAGTCTACACCCGTTGTATTCAGCGCATGTGACCAATACATTTGATTTGGTAACTAGTGACGACTGGTAGCCTTCATGTAGCTTGTAGTTTATGTTGGCCAATCAAAGCGGCAAAGTGACTCAATGACATAGCAAGTGGAGTGAGAGTTCAATAAGCAATGCAAGATGTAATAAAATGATGAGAAAAAAATAATTGCGGAATGAGAAGGAGTAGGCTACAAAGTGTTGCACAGTATACCGAAACAGCTATACTTTTTCGATACTAGAACGTGAAAAAACGGTTCGGTACTGAAAGTAACAAATTCTAGTACTTCTGTCAAATGTGTCTCACATCGTCTACTGATTGAGAGAGGATCAAGTCTGTCTATCAGCACAGCCGATGTCCCCTAGCTCACCTAGCTCGAACACACCGTGGCTGCTCCACGCTTTTCTAGCTCTAGCCCAGGGATCATCAACTAGATTCAGCCACGGGCCGATTTTTTCTTGAGCAGATGGTCAGGGGGCCGGAACATAACTAGAAATAATTTGTACACCGCAAATTGACAGCAAGAAGCCCAAAAATATATATATTTTCAACTAAAACAATCATTTCAAACCTTGCTTACATTTGTATACGATCAAATATCTCTCTATTATGCTTGGGAATACTTTGGAACATATTTTTTAAATGAAAATCACTTGGAGCTGATTTGCTGGTGTTTTCAGTCTTATGTCTAAATTATTATAATAATTTTTAAAAATTCGGGCCCGCGGGCCACCAGTTGGGAAATCCTGCTCTAGACTGTCCTGAGGGACCACTGCACTCACTGGGAGTCTGGGCTGCATCATGTTAGCTCCCCACTCATGCTGGACAGTAGTTAAGACACTTGAATAATACAACACGGCATGCAGAAATTTTGAAACTCTCCGCAAAACAAAGTCTATTATGGTAGCTTCCAGCTTTGTAGGCTAACTTTCCTTGCTAGCTTACAGCTGAAGCTAACATCAATTCACTCCCCTAGTACTTCGTTTGTGAGAATATGTAAACCAAACACAAGATATGCTGATTTAATGCATACATGGCTGTCTCTGAAAAATGGACAACAAAAATGTAAAATGTAATGATATTGAACTTCTGTGACTTTGGCTAATACGCCTTCTTTTTCTGCCGTGGTATCATTTTGGTAGTGAGTTTCGTGATGGTAAACCTGGTATCGAAATTCTGGAATCATGACAACACTAGGCTTCAGCGAGCAACCAATAGGTAGTGTTGTTTTATCTCAATGGGGTTTGGGGAGAAAGCCTTGGCTACTGCATCGCTCTCTCCCTTCCTCCCTCCGTCTGCAGACTCCCATCTCAAAGCCACCGGACCCTCCACAGCTGCAGCAACAGAGCGCCAGCCTCTCTCTCTCGCGCAGCAGTGCTCATGTTAAAAACACAAGCTTTAAATGTATTTATTTATTTAGAATATCAGGATATCCGACAAGAATTCATGATATTATTCGAATAGTGAAATTATTTAAAACCCCTACTTGTGTTTATTTTCCTACTTTCGATGAAAGCCAGCCTGCAGCACAGACTGTAAAACAGCTGGTGGACCAGACCACACAAATGTTCAAAGACAAACCTGACTCTGAACAAATTCACTTTAGTAGTAGCCCATCCCCCATCCCTAGAACACCTCCAGGCCTGGCTCACATGTCCCACAGCGTTGCAGGCATTCTTTTTTCATTGTTGTATCATATATAGTAAACACTTACCCAGGCGTTGGCGGATCTATTACAATGATAATAAAACATCTGCACCATTAAAACCTGGGGAATCTAAGTAACGCCATTCCTGCCCTAGATTCTGGGTTGGTCCTCACCTTTAGTGCAAGCGCACAGGCGGTCAGTCCCGGAGCAGTAGGTGACAGAGACGAAAGGGTCAATCTCGTCCACCGTCCCATCCGTCTTGGGCGGCTCCACTTTGGCCAGGACCTCCAAAGTGGAAAGGTCCAGGATCATGATGTACCCTGCCTGAGTAGTGACCACCAGGTGGCCCAGTCCGGCCACGTCCGCCTGCTTCACCTTGGTGCTGCTGCTACCAGTCCCTGTCCCACACCCAGACCCATGGCCGCAGCCAGAGCCGTTTTTAAGCCCTCGATGAGGCTTCTCCTCTGAGGCCTCCTCGCTGTCGTCCTCCCTCCCGTCCAGCACGTCTGGCGGGAGCAGGATGAGGGAGGTGACGGCGTCCCGGGGGTCTCTGATGTGCTGCACCTTGACAGGCTCCTCCTCCAGAGTGACAATGCAGGTGGAGTAGTTGAGCTTGTAGAGGGCCAGGTAGCCTCCACCCCCACAGCCTCCCAGGGGCCTGGACGGCTGCTGCTGCTGCTGGTCAGGGGGGGGCAGGATGAGTGGGGTCTGAGGGGGTGAAGCGGAGGGGAGGGCTTCGTGTCCATTGGCCAGTGTAGGCAGGGGCTGGAGCTCTCCCTTGCGGCGGCTGCAGAGGGCTGAGTGGAGGCGGTTAAGGTTGTTGAGGGCCTCCACCTGGTTGATGGCGCTGAGAGACTCTACAGAGCAGGGCTGCAGCCCCACCAGCAGGTGCACGCCGTCTGAGCATGGCGTGATGGAGTCCACGTAGAGGTTCTCCTCCTCCAGCTGCTTGGGCAGCCGCAGACACTGCACCAGGGCTCCCGGCCGCGGCGCTAGCGAGCTCCACTTGTCCCCGTCCAGGGCGGCTAGGTTGGCGGCAGCGTCTGCAAACTGCTGGATGTAGGTGATGGGCGGGTCCTGGAGCAGCAGCTGCTCGTGGGTATCGAACTCCATCTCAATGATCTGTGGCACGGAGAAGCCCTCCTCGTGCAGCCCCTTGCTCATCAGATTGTTCATCTGGGCAAACACCTTGCCCGACGACTTCTCCTCCGACTCCTTGAAGCAGTAGAGCAGGAGCACGGGCATAGTCCTGCGCACGGCAGGAACGGCTGAGTTGGGCGAGCCCAGCTCCGTGGGAGGGAGGTTACAGGTCTCTATCTCCATGGGGCCCTGGTCAGGCACGGCATGGGGGGGCTCAGGGCCCTGAGTCCTGAGGGGGCCGTCCATGGAGCGGCGGGAGGAGGGGGGTGGGGCAGCAAGCGGGAAGCTGGCGGCAGAGCGGTAGCTGAGCAGGCCTCCAGCCAGCAAGCAGGGGAAAGGAATGTTGTGGTGCTCCGGGGGCTTCTCCTTGGCCTTGTCGGCCTTGGCCTGGGCCAGGGAAGGGTTGGCCCCCAGCTCCTCCAGGTCCTTGACTGTGTCCTCCAACACGCTGGCCACCACCTCCCACTGGAGCTTCTCTGGTTGCTGCAGGATGCTTAGCGCTGTCACACCCAGGCTCACCTCCATGCTCTCTCTCTGGGACGGGTGGCCTGGGAACATGAGGGGACACAAATAAATGAGATAGGCTATCTTAAGGATACCAAAAGAGTAATAAGATTTGAAGAGCGGCTTCATACCAGTCACCGACTCTGATCTGGAATGCTCTTCACTGTCCGAGTCCTCCAACTGATCATCACTGGCAGAGACAGACAAGAAGAGAGGTCACATCTATTTCTAACAGATTTCCTTTTTTTACATTTACATTTTAGTCATTTAGCAGACGCTCTTATCCAGAGCGACTTACAGTTAAGTGAGTGCATAATTTTTTTTACACACACACACACTTAACACACTGAACTCCATTTAAACTTTAATTGACTAGGTGTGCATAGAGTAAGTGTGTCCGATAGTACCTGTCCCCCTCTAGTTTTGGTATGTCTGAGCAGCTGGAGGAGTCCTCTAGCCAGGCTAAGGTGGGCCTCCTGGACTCCTGGGTCCCCAGGGCCTGCTCGCTCCCAGACAGAATCAGCTGCCGCAGGATCGCCGGGTCGTACGGGTTGATTTCAAATTTCAAGTGCACCTGAGGGGAACGCAAAACATCATGAATCATCAAATCACAATTACAAACATTAGTAATAACAACATGCACATAGAGATAAACGTATTATTTACTCATGCCATCCTAAGTTATGTATGTTAATCAAGTCTGATGAATAGGCCCAGACATCCAGGACTCACGCTCATGCCACTCAGACAACCACCTACACACCAAAAGCAAAGCATGGAGGCAGACATCAGCAAAACTCTACTTCTCTTCCCGATGACATTAGTTTGAAATATTGACTGCACCAGTTCACCTAGGGCCAGATCAAACTTTCACGATGTCATCACTGCATCATGTTTCCCCCCCACGCCGAGCAGTGCGGCCTTACCTTCATGAGCTTGGACACGTCCCAGATGCAGATCTTGCCGCGCTTGGTGGCGGCTGCCAGGAAGTGGGGACAGCTGCCGAAGCCGTAGCAGGCGATCTTATCTGAGCCATCGGGGGTGGGGAACTGTGCGGGGCTGGTGGCCAGCGTGACGGACAAGGGCACGTTCTGGGTGTGCTCACCCTTCACAAACGGACAGTTGGGGGAATGTCGCTCATGCTCAGACCTGACGAGGAGGCGGAGTCATGGTCATTATGTTGTTGAGAGGTAAATGAATATGCGATCTGAATGTTCTGCGGTGTGTGTGTGTGTTTGTGAGTGAGTGTGTGTGTGTGTGAGAGAGAGAGATAGTGCTGAGTGATTAGTACTTTTTGAGGTCGGTTCAGTTTCAGTTCAATTATTTGAAAGTAATCACGTTTTTCGAGATTAAAAAAAATACATAAAAAGGCATTATGAAATAATGACATTACAATGATTTTAGAGCTTTTTAAAAGTATCAGTCCAGAGATCTGTATATAATGACGAGATGCTCATGCCTCCGCCCTAAGAATGGGAGTCGTTGTCCCAAAGGCGGGCAACAAGGTTAGATCCAAAATAAACCAATAGAAACACATTGGGATTATTTTGGACAGATTATGTCGAGAGTGAAACCTCACGCTTCGCCTCTTCGTCTCTGACCTGTGTCCGAGACAAACAAAATGGTGCAATGGATTATGGTCATTGTAGTTCATTACCACGTTTCTGCACTGAACTAGGTTGAATATTTGTTTAATGAAAACTACAACGCCATCGTCCCACATAGCTCTAGAGTTGATTTATCTCGTGAATTATTTGATTTCTCTCTAGGAAAACGACCCGTTTTCAATGGAATTCAAGTAATTGAACCGACGGACAATTAGTTGTTTAATAATCCCAAATATTTTACGAAATGACGGTTAATCGCTCAGCACTAGTGAGTGACTCACCATGGTTCATCTGTGGGCTCCCAACACACTAGGCAGACACTGCATGTGAAACACATTGCCCTGTCATCACCGGTGGAGGCAGGCTGCAGAGGGAGAGAAAAGGAATGAGAAGAAAGGAATTTCACAACAGGGAAGAACTGGAAGCCAAGCACCACGAGGCTCAACCATACGCAATAAAAACCAGCTAATCTTTTACACTTTATGTACAGAAATATTATGCCTCTTTATACTGCATCAGGATCAAATATACATTTTTCTTCACTATGTAAGCATTAGAGAGAGAGAGAGATGATGGGAGAGGTGTCCTTACACTGCCTACCTGGTGGTAAAATCCTGCTTGGGCCATGGGGTCAGGCTGTGCCCACCTGTACCCGGCGTGGGGCCACGACATGAACGTTTCTCTCCTATTTGCCTCACTGTACATCAATGATCTGAAAGACAGACAGCAAGAGTCAACTTGTCAATACAGAAATGAAGGCAAAACAAAAGGAACAAAATCGGTTAATTCAGTAATTGTAACACCTCTGTGGTGCATGGTGAGGTGTGTCATGGTTTAAGGTCCTGCTCACCTATCTACAGAGCGCCCTGGGCCCAACCCCCAGCTCAGGCCGTGCACTTGGTAAGAGGTAGGAGAGCCTGTCCATGATGGACGAGGCCACAGACAAGGCAGCGACGTTCTGGTTTATCTTCTTCAGCTCATTCACGATGCCACTGGCGACCAACTTTAGCACATGGTGTGGAAGATGGAACGTCACCGTTGCCCACTGGAGATAGAGAGCGACAGTTAGACAGTGTTAGGGCAAAAGGAGAGAGAAGTGTCCAGCGAGCCTTGTTGAATTCTAGTACTACTGCATCCCTTCCCTGCAGGTACAGCAGATAAAAGTAAACCACCACGGTTTTGCCCAATTTCACATATATTATACAATGTATGCAATTCTGTGAGAGGTCAGTTGGAAAGTGAAAAGGGAAATTTCATTATTGGGACAGAAGCTGATTGTTACAGGATTGTGAGTTCAGAAGGAAGAGAGGTTGGATGTTGGGTAAACTTCCAATATCAGGACTTGGTGTATTCCTTTTGATACAAAAAACATTAACACATTCACAATATAGGCACATCATGGTATAGCAAGATAAATCACTGGGTGCTGAATGAAATAGGGCAACAGTAAAGTGATCTTGATGTAACAAAGTGCTGATTGGCGCCGATGGGCTATGGAGTGGATTCTTCTACCCAAGTTCTCAGCAATGGAAGTTATGGAACCAGAGCTAAAATAAATTGCATGAGCAAACAACTGAGAGTCATGTCTGGGGTAGGATTTAACAGCAGGAACCGGGTTACCGAGATTTCAGAGTTCCCTCCCAAACCCGCTCCCGTTTCCCGGAATAAATAACTGAAAAACAGTATATTATAATACATTATTTATATGAACAGCATGATGTGAAATGGAACTGTTATTTGCAATGCCTAATCTGGCTTCTCACGGTAGGGTAGGACTACCTACTTTTAATAATTCAGCTGTGTAAAGCTTCATTAAAACTAATGCCACGAGGAAGAAAGCTACATCTGCAAGGGCAGAAGGAAATGTAGCCTACAGGAGGTTCGACAAGTAGTTTGATCCGACACGCAGGCCTACATCCACAACACGTGTGGTCCTCTGTAGCTCAGCTGGTAGAGCACGGCGCTTGTAACGCCAAGGTAGTGGGTTCGATCCCCGGGACCACCCATACACAAAAATGTATGCACGCATGACTGTAAGTCGCTTTGGATAAAAGCGTCTGCTAAATGGCATATTATTTATTATATTACTTGCGAGGCAAGTGCAGAGAGGGGGCTTCAGCAAGTGCAGAGAGGGGGCTTCAGCAAGTGCAGAGAGGGGGCTTCAGCAAGTGCAGAGAGGGGTTTAGCAGCAAAACTTTCTAGAACGATGCAGTCTTACCTCAAGCAGACGCAAGCACTGGATTAAATTATAGCAGAAATGGCTGCGAGCGACGGGTTCTCCTACCATGCTATTGCAAACAGCATTGTGCTACACACAATATCTACCATATCTGCCAGACTGTTCCACTGTGTGTGCTGCAGTCCAATTTAAAACTTGAGCTCTCTCCCAAATTCTTCCTTCACGTAGCCTACCCCTGTAGCTTATCATTGCTGACCCCTGATTTCCAAAAGTGATGTACAACCTTCCTCACTTTCTCCACTGTGCTGCGCAGCTCCCCTCTCAGGCTCGTAGCCTACTGGGTGTCTTCTTCAGCATCAACACAAAGTTTACGTAGCCAGAAGGATCGCATTTAAATGTATTTTATGCTGTGGCTATATTTGGATATGATGTATGCTAGCATATGTGTATTTGACTAACATTCTACTCTTGTCAGGTGTTGATTTACTTAACTATCATAAAACAAAACCTTGCAAGATTATTGCTTTAGAATTAATATTATATTTTTAGCCTAACAAATAATAACAAATGCAATAAGAAAATGTTAGATTTTATGTACACTGCTCAAAAAAATAAAGGGAACACTTAAACAACACAATGTAACTCCAAGTCAATCACACTTCTGTGAAATCAAACTGTCCACTTAGGAAGCAACACTGATTGACAATAAATTTCACATGCTGTTGTGCAAATGGAATAGACAACAGGTGGAAATTATAGGCAATTAGCAAGACATCCCCAATAAAGGACTGGTTTTGCAGGTGGTGACCACAGACCACTTCTCAGTTCCTATGCTTCCTGGCTGATGTTTGTGTCACTTTTGAATGCTGGCGGTGCTTTCACTCTAGTGGTAGCATGAGACGGAGTCTACAACCCACACAAGTGGCTCAGGTAGTGCAGCTCATCCAGGATGGCACATCAATGCGAGCTGTGGCAAGAAGGTTTGCGGTGTCTGTCAGCGTAGTGTCCAGAGCATGGAGGCGCTACCAGGAGACAGGCCAGTACATCAGGAGACGTGGAGGAGGCCGTAGGAGGGCAACAACCCAGCAGCAGGACTGCTACCTCCACCTTTGTGCAAGGAGGAGCAGGAGGAGCACTGCCAGAGCCCTGCAAAATGACCTCCAGCAGGCCACAAATGTGCATGTGCCTGCTCAAACGGTCAGAAACAGACTCTGTGAGGGTGGTATGAGGGCCGGACGTCCACAGGTGGGGGTTGTGCTTACAGCCCAACACCGTGCAGGACGTTTGGCATTTGCCATAGAACACCAAGATTGGCAAATTCGCCACTGGCGCCCTGTGCTCTTCACAGATGAAAGCAGGTTCACACTGAGCACATGTGACAGACGTGACAGAGTCTGGAGACGCCGTGGAGAACGTTCTGCTGCCTGCAACATCCTCCAGCATGACCGGTTTGGCGGTGGGTCAGTCATGGTGTGTGGTGGCATTTCTTTGGGGGGCCGCACAGGCCTCCATGTGCTCGCCAGAGGTAGCCTGACTGCCATTAGGTACCGAGATGAGATCCTCAACCCCTTGTGAGACCATATGCTGGTGCGGTTGGCCCTGGTTCCTCCTAATGCAAGACAATGCTATACCTCATGTGGCTGGAGTGTGTCAGCAGTTCCTGCAAGAGGAAGCATGATGCTATGGACTGGCCGCCCGTTCCCCAGACTGTATCCAATGAGCACATCTGGGACATCAGTCTCGCTCCATCCACCAACGCCACGTTGCACCACAGACTGTCCGGGTTGGCGGATGCTTAGTCAGGTCTGGGAGGAGATCCCTCAGGAGACATCCGCCACCTCATCAGGAGCAGCCCAGGCGTTGTAGGGAGGTCATACAGCACGTGGAGCCACACACACATTGAGCCATATTGATTGTTTTAAGACATACATCAAGTTGGATCAGCCTGTAGTGTGGTTTTCCACTTAATTTTGCGGGTGACTCCAATCAGGACCTCCATGGGTTGAAAATTTGATTTCCATTGATTTGTGTGGATTTTGTGTCAGCAATTCAACTATGTAAAGAAAAAAGTATTTAATAAGATTATTTCATTCATTCAGATCTAGGATGTGTTATTTTAGTGTTCCCTTTATTTTTTTGAGCAGTGTATAATACACCTTAGAATGGCACATGATTCTGTCCGAGGGTTTTATACGCTTTAGAATGACACTTCCTGTTTTGGCAGGAAATACCGTGAGAAAAGTTATTTATTCTTGAAATGGAACATATACCGGGAAAATTTTAAACCCTAGTGTGAGGTAACTCACTGGTTATAGGACAATATTTATTCTAACAGGGACACACACATCTCTGTTAAATAAGACTAAACTAGTAGGTCACCCAGTCCTATGTGAGTGAGAGCTTAATCTCTCTGTACATAGAGTTGTTTAAAAATCTTTGGAGCATAGCCGAAGGGCGGGAGTTGTGCTGCATGGCAGGAACACAACAGTATACGAGGGTAAAGAAGGGGACAATGGTGAGACGGAAGTGGATTCATACACTAAAATATTCAAAAACATTTGTATAACAACATATATCCTTTTCTTGTGGGTGTTTTATGGCCGGTAGACAGACAGACACACATACAGTTAAAGTCGGAAGTTTACATACACCTTAGCCAAATACATTTAAACTCAAGTTTTTCACAATTCCTGACATTTAATCCTAGTAAATATGCCCTGTCTTAGGTCAGTTAGGATCACCACTTTATTTTAAGAATGTGAAATGTCAGAATAATAGTAGAGAGAATGATTTATTTCAGCTTTTATTTCCTTCATCACATTCCCAGTGGGTCAGAAGTTTACATACACTCAATTAGTATTTGGTAGCATTGCCTTTAAATTGTTTAACTTGGGTCAAACGTTTTGGGTAGCCTTCCACAAGCTTCCCACAATAAGTTGGGTGAATTTTGGCCCATTCCTCCTGACAGAACTGGTGTAACTGAGTCAGGTTTGTAGGCCTCCTTGCTCGCACACGCTTTTTCAGTTCTGCACACAAATGTTCTATAGGATTGAGGTCAGGGCTTTGTAATGGCCACTCCAATACCTTGACTTTGTTGTCCTTAAGCCATTTTGCCACAACTTTGGCAGTATGCTTGGGGTCATTGTCCATTTGGAAGACCCATTTGCGACCAAGCTTTAACTTCCTGACTGATGTCTTGAGATGTTGCTTCAATATATCCACATAATTTTCCTTCCTCATGCTGCCATCTATTTTGTGAAGTGCACCAGTCCCTCCTGCAGCAAAGCACCCCCACAGCATGATGCTGCCACCCCGTGGTTCACGGTTGGGATGGTGTTCTTCGGCTTGCAAGCAACCCCCTTTTTCCTCCAAACATAACGATGGACATTATGGCCAAACAGTTTTATTTTTGCTTCATCAGACCAGAGGACATTTCTCCAAATAGTACGATCTTTGTCCCCATGTGCAGTTGCAAACCGTAGTCTGGCTTTTTTATGGCGGTTTTGGAGCAGTAGCTTCTTCCTTGCTGAGTAGCCTTTCAGGTTATGTCGATATAGGACTTGTTTTTACTGTGGATATAGAAACTTTTGTACCTGTTTCCTCCAGCATCTTCACAAGGTCCTTTGCTGTTGTTCTGGGATTGATTTGCACTTTTTGCACCAAAGTACATTAATCTCTAGGAGACAGAACGCGTCTCCATCCTGAGCGGTATGAAGGCTGCGTGGTCCCATGGTGTTTATACTTGCGTACTATTGTTTGTACAGATGAACGTGGTACCTTCAGGCGTTTGGAAATTGCTGCCAAGGATGAACCAGACTTGTGGAGGTCTACAATTTATTTCTGAGGTCTTGGCTGATTTATTTT